TCGCGCTGATTTTTAGCGATAAAAATCAATTTGCAAACACGTGTAGTGCTTCTCAATAGTTTAAATTTTGCAGGTGCCATTTCTAGAAGGCAGGGTGACCTAGCTGTTGTAATATGATTTGCTGTCTTAAATTTTAATTTGATCTACGAATGATAATGATACAAGGTGGACGATAAAGAGCACGAGGTTTCCATTATGAATGTTGAATTGATGTGACGAAAAAGAAAAAACCAGTAGTTTTTGTTAGGATACAACTTGAACCCCGAATAGCATTACATTCCTCACAATCAATGACAATTTTTTTTGTTTAAGTTCACAAATTTATAAGAAAGCTCTCCAAAAACATAAATATTCAAAAGAATCGGAGAGATCAATCTCCAGAAGTCGATGGGAAATCAAGAAACTTAACTTCCTTATAGGGACCAACGTTTGAAACTTTCTTTAAAATAAAGAGGATACCATAATCAGCATTAAATGCAGAAAAGCCAGAAAGATAGGAATGAGAAAAACACACATCTGGAGCTTAGGAACTGATAACATGGAGCGGGCTGGCCTTGTAACCGACAAGAAACTATTTTGGTGGAATCCCAGTAACAATAGCATGTTCTGTGTTTAGCATTTGGATTTCATGGAGAACAGGCTAGCCCGGTTAGTCGGGATGTCGTCTTCTGCCTGCTAGGCTAGCTTGGCAAAGCGGACTGAAATTGAAAGTTACAAACAGTACGAAGCAGTGAGATCGTATGAACTGAGGTAACAAGGATGTAAACAACCCAAACTGTTGAATCAAACCCCCCATAGCTGAAAACCGTTTCTTCGTGAGCTCTGCAGCCATGTTCAAGATCAATTTACCTGCCGAAATTTCTACCACCAATCTTCAGGCCGGGCTGGTGTTCCTCACGTAAGCGTTCAAAAGTGTCAGCCCGGATAGCCAGGCAAGCCCTGGTCACCTAGTCCTAAATATTCCCGGCAGGCTCAGTCAGTTTATCAAACGTATTACATGTGAGTTCCGAAAAACTCTGAGAAAGGGTGGTCTGTAAACTAGAATTCTGGGACATAGAATCTTGAAAATAGGATTGCTTTTTTAATCAGTCAGAGAGAACACAAAAGGGCAGAAATTTAGCATCTAGTCTTGTATGTTGTTCTAATCCTAGATAAGAAATTTAAGTCTTTGTTTAAAAACCCTTTACTGCTAGCATGTACTCATTGCAGGGACACAACTTTTTCATGTCTTCATAAAAACATTGAACACAATGTTGTGAAGTAAGCAATATGTTGCAGTTATAGTTTTACAGCTGTCTAGTTTTGTTAATGTACATTAGGAACCATAAGGGATTGATGTTAAAATCAATTTAGTAAACTCTGCTTTTTAACTTGCCTAGACATAAGTTTATGAAAAGGAATGGTTCTAACATGAATTGGTATAAAAATTTTTGCTCAAGCTTGAAAAATCTCAGTGAAAAGAGTTTCACAATTTTGGCAAAGTCACAGAATAGGGTACATTTTACTTAACCCAGAATCAGAGATAGGGGTCCAGTTTCTACTTTCATGAACACACACGATATACATTGCAGCAACTGACTGTGCCCGCCGGGTAAATACTTCTATAATGATAATGCTTGTTTACTTTGACAGTCAAGAAAGGCTACGATTGCCAAGCGTGACATGTCTATTGATGTTTGTCAAATGAGTCAAATGAATGAATTGTAGCTTTGACTGAAAAGTACAGCTTTTCGAGAAAAATGTTTTCGACCGCTCTTTAAAAACGGAAGCAATCCACTGTAACTGATCCTTTTGCTGATGCAAAAAATGCAAGGGTTAAAGATACATTTCGCAGTGTTGTTCTCCTAGATACGCAGGTGCTAAATACTGAATTAAAATTCTCCATTTCATCAAGCACTCATTTTAAATCACGACTTAGCTTCACAGTTAGCTCGAAGTGCTATTTCTCTCATCTAAATATCAAGATTGACTTGAGAGCATGTTTTGCGTCAATCGATGTAATAATTTTTGTATAATAAACTGATAAACGATATGCATTTAACAAAGAAGTTGCTCAGTCTTCATTTTTTACCTACTGCGAAAAGTTCTCTAAAAAGTTCCTAAATACTGCACGAAATTCCTCGCTTTAATCATTTCATTTGTTATTCATTTTCATCGCTTTCGTTGACTCTTTTTATTAGGGACCTTTATATAAATGAAGCTTTGTTCATTGATATGATCATTGATATGATATGATCCAAATTTCATGAGTCGTTCGTTGCCTTATGATCGTATTAGGCCTAATACTCGTAATTGCCACTAAGACCCCGTTATCACTACAGACAGAAGAACACTACAGACCCTTGGTTCCGTTCTTGTTTGGGCACGATACCACTTTTTTCATCGCGTTTACACTGGAGCAGAAAGGAACGGAGCCAAATTTGACCCCATTTACATTTAAGTGAAGAGAACGGAACTTTTAGGTGAGGCATGCGCAGTGGCGCGGCAAAGACGACTAACTTTTTCAGAACGGCTCGCCCCAACCCTAGATTAAGGCCCGTTTTCAATCGTTTTCAACCGTAACCAAAAGTTCCGTTCCTGACCGTTGCACTAGAGAAAACAAGCATGATTTGGAAACGGAACCAGAGAGATTCGCATTTTAGCAAAAACCAAAGAAAAACGGACCCGTATCCAAACTAGCACGGAACCAAGATGCCTGCCTAGTGTAAACGCAAGGCCTATCGTCGCTTTTTCAGGCATGAAACCAAGGAGTTCCGTTCTTTTTTCTGTAGTGTAAACGGGGTCTAAGTACCCTCCTGTTCCATACACCAAAAACGTGTACAGCTTTACCTACGTAGCGGGATTTTAGTGATTTTAGAATGAAATTCCGAAACCATAGAGATCTTTCCAGGCTCACTGAGAGGTGAGGAAGGGATGCAATTGCCCTTGGGCCAGAGAGCTAAGAGGGGCCCAGCGTGGCTCTCGGTGGCCATGGATCTTTCAACATGCAACATGCATGGATTCCAAATAGCAGTACTGCATGCTGTGAATTTTGCCCAAAATAATGATTGGGATACAAAAGGGAGTAGCAAAAATAATCCATTGAACATTGCCAAAACAATAAAGTTTCTTCTTTTAAAGGCAAAAGAGAAAAATACCATTACCATCTTCAGGCGAACTGCCGTGCCTGAAACTCATTTTGCCTTCGCTACGAAGCTCTTCGCACATTTTCATGTCGTTAATCACAAGCCAATAATTTAAATGATTAATGTACAACGATAACATATCTTACTTGCAAAAATTTTCGTATGCAGCTTCTGGCCATACTAATTTGCGACATTTTCTCTTTACTGATTGTAACAGTCCAAACACTTGTAGAGCAGACAAATTTTATCTAGGCCATATCTTCACAACGCTCTCCAAGAATCCAAGTATAAGCTCTCCAGGGAAATGAACTCCCGCTCCAAAAGAAGTATTATCCCCGTTAGCATTATAATTAATAGAAATCCCCAACCATCTTTTCTGAGAACAAGCTAGCTTTTCTCAAAAGAATAGAGAAAGCATCGGCGTTCACTGACAGTTCTTTCTAACGATTTATTTGTCTGCGAAGTTTCATGGGATAAAAAAAATAATAATATCAAACGTTAAAACAAAATTCAAATGTTTGCAACGACAAATCTTTGAACTGGTTGTACTCGGAATAAAATCACAACTTGAATGAAGCAAAAATATTTGGGTATGATCCCTACTAAATTCTCTAAACGTCTTACATCCGCCACGTCCATGTCCATAGAAAACAAAATAAAAAAGTAGGTATTCCGTACTCCCCAAGAAACTGAACATCGTGCAAATTCTGGCGTTCAAAACAGTCTAAAAAGAAAGAACGGAAACATTTGCTACCATGCTTTCTTAAAGTTCTTTCTACTTTAAAAATGTAGAGAATTCATATCTATGATTAGATTCATTTTTGACTGAAATTAACCAAAGAAGACATTTTGCAAAGTATTCAGCTTTTTCCATATCAATGCCTACCTGCAATGCAATGATATCGTTAGATCTGTTTGGTGGGTTCCTCTTTGTAGCCTGAACTCATCTTCAAAATGGTAGCACTGTGCATTGAAAAGTTTTTGGTCTGTAACTCAGGTGCCACTTCATTGCAAATAAAATAAATAAATGTTATCTTCTTGTGTTTATAGTAGTCAGTATTGTTTTCACTGAACACTCAAAAACAAGAAAAATGAAATTTGCATTCATGTTATATTGGCAAATACACCTAGCAGGCTTCTGTAGAGATGATAAATTAGAGACTGTTTATTGCTGTTGAAGTAGCCTAGTATCATGAAACTGGCTTGTACAGTTTTTCGGAAACTCTCAACAAGCAATGCCTCAGCGACGAAAATTTCAAAAATTATGATCAAAAAAATTTTAATTCTTGTATTTTGAGAGTCCAATGAAAACAGTTTTTCATTGATAGAGTCATCTACTTCAACCGTAAACTGGGTACCTTCTAAAAAGGCAAGCACTAATACTTCTCTGAAAATACTTTGATCTGATACATGCACCTTTTGAAGCTTGTATTAGTGAGAATCAAATTTTCCCATATTTTTAGATAAAAGATGCTTTGACTGGTGAAAGCTAACTCATGAATTATGAGACAAATCTGCATTAAAAGTCAGCGATCGTAGAAACTGACAGTTAACTCTATTACTAAAATAGCCATCAGCACATTTTGTTTTTTATATCTACAAAGATAGTTTGGCGTTCTGTTGACGAAAAGAGAAAAAAATGCATGTTTGGAATTATTAAGGGCGGTTTAGGGTGTTGAAACTTTAAAACTCTTACTTTAAAAACAATACTTTTGGATGAAAAATAATACAGTATACCCCGGTTAATTGGGAATTCCAATGGCATAAAAAGCCTGCCCCTTTTAGCGAAAGAAGGCTATAGAAATATCCCACCAAGCGAGATATTTGCAAATCATGAATCGGCGGAGACACCAAATGTACTCTTGTTCACAACTTACGCGGGAATTTTTTTTTTGCAAATCGGTACTAGAATGATTTATCAGGCTTATTACTAATTGAACTATGTTGTTCGATCATAGGAAGCGAGAAATTGGTCAAAAAACTTTCACTAGCGAGTAGCTAACGAATACGTATTCTTCGCATAGAAGGATATTTTCAAGGTATAGTTTTAAAAAAGATTTAACTTTAACACAAAGTTATCATTCGCAAAACATGTTATTAAATGAATAATCACAACACTACAAACAATAAAGCTAAAGCAGTTGAAAAAACTAAATAGAAGATGCGTAAGCAATATTTTTACATAATGGTACTAGACGATTTGAAATTTGATGCAGAAGATGGCACAAGAGTTTGGTTCTTTCCTTAAAATCGTTAATGGTCTTGTCCTAGCTTACTTTTGCTTGTTGCTTCCTGAATTCAATGCACAAGTACAAAGCTAGGTCTTTCAGAAACAACATTGTTGAAGAATGTATGAGTACAAAGATACTTGGAGAAACGCTGGATTAGCCCAAAAGATTTGATAAACACACAACGAACCACCCGGTGGAGACGTGGAACGCCCGACAATCGAGATATCCCAACTAATTATTGGACATAAGTTAATTAGTTAATAATTAGTTCATTCTTGGCTTTTTCTTTTAGGCTTGGCTTTTTCCATTCAATGGAAAGCCATTTGACCGAATGACATCACTGAGGCTTCTCTCATCGAGCTTTCAAGCTATCATACCTAACTTTCTCTCCCAAACCTTTGAAATTAATGTCTACGGGGCAAATTAAGAACAAACAAGGTCACTCATAAATCAAAACTACCAAACTTTGCGTTGGCTCAAATCTTGTACCATTCTGTGACAAAAGTGGGTGCTTACATGAAGTATGATGTGTGAGTTTAAAATTTCTACTCTGATGCGAACAACCAGCATTGTTATTATAAAGGTTAAGATTGGTCGTAGCTACATTAAACGCGACTCTAGGTACCCCACTGGGTCCCTTATCAACATATCGATTTTTAATGATAGCTCGTGACAATCCTCTATCTTCAGATTTTCGAACATATTCACATTAGGAACAAAAAAGTCAAAGCATTCTCGTTTCCATAAGCATCTCCTGAGAGCCACAACGAGGTCAATAAAGCGCTTACCAAGCTTCACTGTCGTCCACTCGATTGGTGCACGGTATTTCACATTTGCCCAGAACAAAATGGTGGCAAAATGGCAAGGAAGAATTGCGTCTGGGCTCGACAGTTCAGTTTCTCTCAAGCACTGTAATACGAGCAAAAGACGTATTTTGTTTCCTGTTTCGTCGGTCAACTGCAGCAGAGTCCTGCGTGATTTTAAGAATGTTACATGCCACGAGTGCAGTTCCTTTCCAATAGTTTTTGAAGTTAAATGAACGCCCTTTCTCGCAACTTGTTGTTTGACAATAGCATTTGGCCATTCGCGCCCTTTCTTAAACACTGTGTCAATTGGAAATGCATCGATGTCAATGGCTAAAACCATACTTACCTCGTAACGAATATCACTTTCCGGGAATTTAACTGAAATTCTAATCTCTTTCTCGGAAATGTTTTCAAAAAGAACGCGCGAATTATGTGGCAGGGTCATACCGTCAATTGCGTTGGTCTTGACCGTGGCATTCACAATGTGGGTAAAAACAATCATAAGTTTACAAGGGGACAGCTTCCTTTTGCCCGTTATAGGATCAGTGATAGCAAAAATTTCAAGACTTTGATTATCTCCAGTAAGAAATATGTCGGCCAAATTACAACTTGTCGGTTGAAATTGAACGTCAATGTCTGTTCCTGAAATTTCGGGAACCATGTAAAATTCAAACGAATGGTCACCGATAGTCTCGTAGTTTCCGTTAGCTTCAGTTTTCTTGATTCTAAATGGGAGTATGTTGGCAGGAATAGTTTCAATTATCGCATTAACGATGTCACGCAGCTTATTAAAGATAAAATGGAAATTGTTGTTCCTTTCCCTGCCTTCTTTGTCGCTGACTTGCCGGACGAGTTTTGAGACGTCGGCCAACTGTTCGTCGGCATATCTCGGTGACTTGATGGCATCGTAGGCCTCAATTCGGCTTTGCCTAGACATAAACATAAGAGAGCCAGTGCTCGAAACAAGAGAATAAGCATCAGAAAACTCAGTACCTATGCTTGGGGTTCTTTGGTGTGATCCGGGCTTAAGGAGCGCCATGTCCCCCACCTTTGCCGAATCAAGGCTGTTCCAGTTCAGTTTAAGAGATGAAAGTGTCGTAATAGATGCCTTTCTTGATAACATAGCATCACTTTTTGAAGTATTGTGGATTCCAGTATTGATGTCAACCACCCTTGGTGAAATCATTGTAACGTCAAATTCGCGAATGGTACCGCTGCGATGACTCTTCGCCGACCAATGCTCGTCATTACCAAAATCGTGAAACTGATGGCATGCAGAACGAGACGAGTATAGAATTTCTCCGCTTGAATCCAGATCATCATTGTCCTCATCTATGCTGTCTGATAAGTGGATATTTTGTATTTCCCTTTGCAGTCGATTGTCGAGGCTTTTCAAGCTACGTAGCGCGTCCTTGTTAGCTATATTCGGTTGATATGGACGGATGCCTTCGATTGGCTTTGTATTTCTGAAGATTACGCCACGAAATTGTGACTGAGGGTCTAAGTTCCATAGGCCCATTGAGAAATTCTTACCCTTGTCTTGTTGATTGAATCGATCGTCAACAGTAACAACACCACTCCATGAAGACGGCAAAAGCAGCTTAGTCTTTTCCCTGAACTTGTCATTAACCTCTTTGCTAGCTGCCTTTTTCTCAATATTATAACTGTTTTTACGGCTAAACTTTGATTGAAACATTGTTCGATGGTGAACTTGCTAAACATCACTCAAAGGCCTTAATGATATCTGCAAGAGAGATAAAAATCAATAACAAATCGTCATTAAGGCGAAGTGGAAATAGCTTCAGAAATCACAACTCAATAGTACAGCAAAAATATGCAAGAAATACCGGAAAAGTATCTTTCTCATCATTCCTAATTCTAAGAACTTGGTTGAATAAATTTCTAATAATTATCTTTAATTTCTCAACCTTGTGGTTAGTTAGAGACCTTTCATCATTAGTTAAATATCATCCATCCACAAAGTTGCGGTCTTTGCAGAGCAGCGTTGGACTACTTCTTTTTCAATATTAATAAAACTTTAAGTTCGGGATTAGAATTTGCAGCTTTTCACTTGCTGTGTTACATTCTACTAGACCACGCATAATCCAATAACTTTAAGCTTCCAGTGTGATCGTAGTTTGAATAAAAACATAAGTTCAAAGAAATATGACAACTTAGATTATTCTACCTGGTTGCTTTCTGACTGTTTTGAGATGGATGTGGTAAAGCAGCAGATTTTCAAGATTATACTTTTATATCAACCATTTATTCGATTAGCTTCACAATGGATTGAGCACAGTATTCCTCAAGGCTCCAACTCGGGCCAGTTCTGTTTACATTTTCATTGAGGATGCAATATTTCATTAATTATGATGCATCAATAGGATGTTGCTATTTAAGATATGACATTCTTAGAAATACGAGTGAAAAGCATGACTCGTACTATTACCATAAGCTTTTACCCCATTTCTTTTATACCATTTAGACGCATCTTATATCATAAAAATAAGACAACTCACGCTTGTCACCTGACTTTTTGCTGACATGCCGCAAAAGTTTTCAGCTTGTTGCAAATTTACCGAACATATAGCACCAGAAAGAATTCTATTTCATATATAGAGTACAAAACATGCTGTCTTCCCACAGATATTATGAGCACCGACAAAATTCTTGGCCGGTACCTCTTTATTCTATCTTGTTATGAAATTTTTGTTTTTCAGAAGAAATGTTTACCGATAAACACGTTTACTCGAACTTGATAACAGCTTTAAATGACAGTTTTAACATTTAAGAAAATCGAATTTGATTATCATCTGATACACTGATTGTCTCTCTCATTATGTGTAATTGAATGACCCAGGGGGTTACTCAAATATATTTTAGACAGGGGTGCTCAGGCTGTAGTACAAACCATCAACCCAAAAAATAATTTGTAGCATAAAAATTGATCCAAAACGTGTTTTTACTCGCCATGCACAAGAAAATTTGCAATTTTTCTCTATTTTAAAATAAATTTCCTGAATTTGAGAGCAAAAAAAATTCTTAATTTCATCAGCCCAAAAAAATAATTGAACTGACCCAAAAAAGATTTTGATCAAATTTTTGACCCAAAAAAGTAACCAGAACACCCCTATTCTAAAAATATGTGAGTACATACATCCCTTGGGTTAGAGGTGGGTATCAATCAGCCTTTTCACTTTATAGCTGCCAACCTAAAACGAGGCAGTTTTACAATATGAGGGGCCTAATAGATATTACTGAAATAATCTTGGAATAATCCTGAACTTCTTCGATTCTAACACTTTTGCACATTTTTCGTTTTTTCAATCAATTCAAATTTGTCTTGGTGATGGTTTTGTGTTCGTAAATCAAGGCTAACCAATTGCAAATGGCGAGATTTGTCATTGTTGTTTTTGTTGAATAGGAAAAGAAAAGTTTTCCATTATTATTTAAGCTGATTCACAAAACTTGCCGTTCGCGGCCTAAATTGCTTCTATTACACCGGGCTTCGCCATCGTGAAGCTTCATCTCTTGAATGCAGAAACCTCTTTACAAGAATATACCATATCTGCCTCAAAAGTTAAAGCTCAAGTTTTACTTCGCTATAACTAACTCACATCACATTGACAATTTGTTACTCGCTCAATTTCAGAGATTTAGGCAGATTTGAACTGCGGCCTCTGGACAGGCTATGTCATGTTATGCAAGTTGGAAATATGACGTACATTGGAGTGGACTCCAAAGTCAAAACATATTAAATTATGAAACATTGATAATCTTGACAATCTTACTTGTTGACCCCCTGATACATAATTGATATGATATTTGCGTATGAAAGGGGTTGAAAAAAAATTCGTAGATCGGTAAAAAGTTTATGCATCAAAAATGTTGATAACAAAATGCATGCCGCAGTTATCAGAATTTAAGGCAATGCAGTGTAGATGAGCTATAACAACAAAGTCTAACCCTGCGATAAAAAAAATCCATAGCACCCATCTGAAACTTTTGATTGTTGAGTTTTGTTGCTAGATAAACCAAGGTCTCCAAGTACTGCCAGCTCGGTTGATAAGTGATATATCACCGCAAAAGGCCTTGAAATGCAAGAGTGGTTTGCACCTATGTAGATCTGAACAAATCAGCAAGACAGGACAATATACAGCGCACATAAAGGTCTTCTTGTGGCATTTACATTGCATTGGCCAGTGTTCCTAAATGCTTACAACTGCATACCATAAAATGTTTATGTTATAAACAGCAAGACCAGAACAGGTTGGCAGTTTAAAGCATTCCGCTAATTTCATCAATTATTCACTGTCTTAAACAAATTCATCTCGAGTGAATAGGTTTGCTTCCTCGAGAACAAGAAGCTATGAAATGTTTGCAAATTAACAAGCGTTTGCCTTCATAGGCGACCAAGTAAATTCCGTTATTCATAAGAGCTGTTTACACATTGCTTTAGGACAGTTGTGATCCCATGCAGGTGACTTTCTTTCAGATTAGCAAGGGAGAACACCTTGGCCTAATTTCATTGTTTCTAACGTAAAATGAATATGGAGGATTCAAAATTGAATTGCTAATTACTTCATAAATGCTCAAAACAAATTGCAAGGAAACACAATACTAATAAAGACAATAGCCAGGTAGGATGATGGATCTGTCAACCAACATCTTTGCAGAAATACAAATAGAGATAAAAAAGATCTAAACAAACGGGCTCAGAGCGAAAAACAAGTAAATTAAAATCTAAACGACCATCTGTGAACTTCAAATTATAACGTCAAAGCCCATCACTTCTTAAGGGCATTGAAAGGCTAACTTTGACACGTTCTATATAGATTTGCTTGCCGCAATAGGCCAGTTTTGTAAAGCATCGCTTTTACTCTACTCAACTTACATCACTCCTACTTTGTTTATTACCCACTGAACTCAATGCCAATGCCGCCAATAAAGTAGTCTTCGTAACAGTGTCATAACGAAGGGGGAAAGCACTTCGGTATGCTCTGTGTGTGTTTCTAAGGTTGCTGATAATGGCGAATACCGGATGAAAGCACTTAGAACGCGTATTGAAAGCATCTAGCGTGTATTCGCAATGTTGCCTAAGTCATGTGAATTGGTGAAGTCGAAATTCACTATGTAAGTCACACCATATACTCGTTTGTCAAAGTTGTGTGTCGCATTTAGAACGCAATCACGAACAAAAATCGGGTTTTAGTCCAACAATCATGAGCAAAATAATTTGTAAAAACATCGTCTATGTAAAATTAAGCGTGAACAGAAAGCTAGATCAGACCTTGACTTTAATTCTCTAGAGTCGATGCGTAAAACAGTGAATTTGTGAGTCATGTTTTGTATATTTTCAAAAGCAGCCAGAGTTTTGTTTGTTATTAAAGTAAAATTTTCCACGTTCGAATATTTATTTTTTAACTAAGTTAGTCTCCTTAAAGACTGGTATAGAACTCCCCATAAAGCGAACACACATAAAGCGGACAGACATAAAGCGGACAGACATAAAGCGGACAGACATAAAGCGGACACGCCGTAAAAAGGAAACCTTTTTTAGAATCGAAAAATAAATTCCTCTGAAATTACTTTCTCTAAATCTGACATCATCAATTAACTTTGAAACAACTTATGGAATAAATTTCTCAACATTTGACAACGTCACGCAGAGTTTAAAGCCTTCGTGTTTACATAATAGAGACAACGATGCATTGATATTTTCCTAGAAAACGGTTTACACAAATATCATTTATAATTAAGTGGCTTTTTATTGTTCCAATCGTATTCCCAGGTAATCCAAGAGTAGCCCAACACACCTATTACTTGCTTAGATTTCTTTTCTTTTGCTAAAATATTGATACTTGCAGAAATCTCTTTAAAGAGGATACATTCGTAATGGGGGTAAAATGATGCTATTTGCATTAAATAGATCGTAACGGCACACAAATGTATCTTCTGACTCCATATAATAGCTTCACTAGTCGAATTCTCAATTGTTAGGAAGAAAAGATTGGCCGTGACAAATGTTCGTCTTATTCGAAATTTAGTAAACGAAATTTTTTCAAGACGAATTTTTTGTGGTCAATGTAAATGTTTAAGAAATTCGACACTATCGTACCTTGAGTGTCGCTAAATTCGAAGGCATTTTACTTACACCTATAGACGTTAAAGAGCTTCAAAGTTCCAAATACTAGATTGCATGCTTCTATTATGTATTTGATGTCATTTCTATTTAAAATGATCTTTATTATCAAACTACGTCTGAAGTTTTGGCATTAACAAAGGGGCAGCTCCCTCTTTGATTAGTTTCCTTATTTGTTCGGGAGACGAAACCTTCAGCACTTTGTTTTGAAACAATACCATCTTAAACCAATCAGTGTTGCAGGGTCATAGCACATGCGCATTAATAACAATATTCGCAAGCTGTTATGCCTGGGACCATACAACTTCCCGCCAGGGCTTCTAGTGATAATGCGCATGTGCAATGACCCTGAAACGGGGGTTAGTGCATGTCTGGAAGACGGGCGTGGTTCTTCTCCCGAACAATTATTGAGAGAGCTCCTCTTTCAAGAAAACCCAGCATACAAATTCTCCTTGAAGTTTCGTCACTATTTTTTTATCTTTTTAAGTAGTCTGTAGACTACTCCTAATTCTATTATTTTAATTGGTATCTTGTAGTTATTTCAATGACATTTTGTATGTAGTGGACTTAAATAATGAAATTGAAGTAAACAGGACGTATACGGTGTACTTTATAATTCCAGCAAGATATCAACCAAGGTCATCTTTCAAAGATGGCTTCACATAAAAACGTAATATAATGTCTTTCAGATTACTCTTTGTATAATTTAATAACATCTTTATTTTACATTGATAAATCTTATAATTTTACAACTATTGAAAATCAACATTCAAATTAACACAGAAATCTAAATTAACAATCTTTTGCAATGATGATAAAACTTTCAATTCTGATTGTACAATTTGAGAATTCGACGGTTTTCCAAAACCTAGAACAATGAACTATAAGAAAGCAACTCGAAAAAAGAATTGGTTTCGAAAGTGTTGGTACCAAGACGTCCTGTCTTGAAATTATTATTGTCAAACCTACCCAATCTCTCTCCCTTCACAGTGTCAAAAACTCTTAAGCAACCCCGAAAATAATAACAATTATAAATAGTTATACAATCTATTGGAAATAATAATCGGCCCTTAGTATTCAAAATTGCATCCCTGTTATTTGTGCCGCAGTGTTAAATAACTAATGAAGCAACGCTTACTCATTCACCTAAGATTTTGTCACGATTTTCAAGTAAAATGAGGCGTATGCCTGAAAAGCTCAAAAGGACTTTATGGTGACTTTTTTTTCTGGCAAAACTGCAATTTGTAACAAAGAATCCGAAAAATATGCTTTCGGGATAAAACAGCGATAACATCTGCACAATTTCATTCATTCAGCAAATTCTGCTATCTCGAAAGAACGAAAGGGTACGGCCCAGTAACAGATTGTGCAGCAGATACCTGAAATCAGATACAAGATAACCACACGTCGGCATTTCAAAGCCTTACTGTTCTCAAAGGTATACCGGAAACTTGGTAGCAACTAAAAGTGGTCCAGATCACAATTCATTACTGCTCTGGCCATTTGATTGCTTCATGCGGTAATTAACTTTAGGGCTGGCGATTTGATTGGTCAAAATCATGAATGATTATAAGGCTGGCGATTTGATTGGTCCAAATCATGAATGATTATTAGACGGGCGATTTGATTGGTAAATATGCTTTAAAGATTCAAAAGTGATGCAGGAATACCTGTAGCCAGTCTATCTCAATAAGACGTTTATAGAGCTCAGATTTGAAAACATGAATGTGATTAATGTGTTAATAATATGAATATAACAACTCATTATCGGATTTAAGACTTCAGGCTTTGCGACATCTTCATGGGTCGAGTCTCCGTTGACGTAATTTGAAAAGCTGGTGAATATGATCAGTAGTTAAACTTTCGATTAGAAGTTTTCTTTCATTTTTCACTCTAATACTAACAAATTATCGTAAATGGATGGTCGATTCTTCGTTTTGCGGTGGTCAACAATGTCACAAGACGAGTCAATCTGGGGCAGCGGATGGTTGTCATAGCTCGAAAAAGGCCTGCTCACCCATTGTTTTCTCGCAATATTTCCTTTTTCACTTCGTTCGTTGTCGTTTCCAGTTGAAACGGGCTTCGATATATTCGGCGTTTGATCCGAAACTGACGTCAGCGATCGTTGCATAACAGGAACCCAGTCAATGGCAATAACACCGTCAACAGCAGCACAGTCCGGCACTCCCCCGTCTGAGAGACAAGAGGCACGTTTGTTGATGATGGGGGTAACATCGGGAATATCGGCAGATTGAGATCGTTTTTCTGTATTACCCGGTACATTATAAGCAAAGCGGCCGTGCAGCTGTAGTTCTCGGCCCCCTCTAATCAAAATTGAGTCACGAATTTCTGATGCCTGTCGCCGCCGAGGCGAGATGCTGTCTGTCGATTGGACGCTGCTTGATGAAAAGCATCGAGCTTTTTCTATAGGTAAAGAATTTTCTGACCTTGTCTTGCTATCTTGATCGTCCACACTCGCAGCACTTGAGCATATCCTCGCAATCTCGTCATATCTTTCAATCCACACTGAGTTTCGTATTGACTTCTCATCAACGGGTGAACTGTGCGCACTGATGTCCTTTCGCGCGTTAGCGCAACTTACAACAAGAAGGTCTAGCTCAGCTAGATTCTTCTCGCTAATATCTAATTCATTTTTACGATCCGATTCATTCTTTTTTACCGTGTTCGATTTATTGGGCTTTTTCTCCGCATTGTCTTCAATTCGACTTAGCCTAGCGTCCTCAATACTGACGTCATTAATTACTTCCAAAGTTGGTTTAAACTCGTCACTGGTATGTTTATCAGAGTTCAACTCCGTGCTCTCACCACTATGAGTGTTAATACTATGGCTAGCCGATTTCGATTTTCCTTGCCCTTTAGCCCTGGCAGCCTTTGCCGACTGCCTTAGATCAATTTCTGGAGCTGTACTCGTCCTTTCGAGCTGGCTCATACCCCCTACATAGCTTACAAAACTCGAAGTCCGAATTCCAAGCGGCGATGATATTTCCATTTTCTTCTTTCGTCCTTTTTTCCCCTGCGTTGGACGCGTGTTTCCTTCACTCGGTCCCAACTCGCGCAAATTGAAACTGCTTTGCGATCGGGGGGTTCCAAGACCAGAGCTGTCTCCAACATCATAACTAACTCTCCTTTTAAAAGATGAAAGAGACATTGCTTTCTTCTCATCACCATACATATCCAGGTCATTACCAATGCTTTTATTTCTAGAAAACAAACCTTTCCAGCTGCGCTTCTTCGACGCGATTTCTGATAAATTCTCCTTGTTCGTTCTCGAATCAATTTGAAGCAAATCAACCGAACTCCGGCGCATTACTCCACTGCCATTAACCTTGTTCCGCGCCTGTGCTTCTTCTAAGGAAAGAAGGCTTGGACCCGGTGATATTGGGATAGAGGCTGGTATTGTCGGATTCGAAGGAGGCCTCGATTTTCGGCGTGGTTTCTCAGCTACAAAAAATGTATAGAAATTGAACGTTGGGGAAAATAACACAAAATAAAAACGAAACAAAAGCAAAATTTCTCAACAATTCTTTACAAATAAATAGCACTTGGATCCGTTACCTTTTCTTAGCGAATTCAAATAGGGTTTAATCTAAATTAATTCTCCATAATATAGGGTGAGAAATTCCCGCCCAACTAGAAATGTTTGCCCCTCTGTGCCCGTCCAAATACTTAGAAAATTGCGTCATCCTACATCACTGTCGAAAACAAAGTCTGTACATCTGTGAAAGTTCTTTTAGAAAGAGAAACTGGATCCTACACTGTAGACTCTAGGCGATTCAAGGACCTTTGGCATTAATTGTAAAGTATTATCATAGCTTAAGTAATGCGTGAAGGGAATTGGCAAGAATCATACCTGAGTCTAAGTTTGGCTCTGATTCACAGATTCGGTTATTTTCTTTTAATCTCGCTCTTGCTTCTGTCAATGATATCAGCTTTGGTGGCCCTATCCCTATTTTTTCTAAGTTTGCACGATCAAGGACAATGTCTTTGGAGTATCCTATAAAAAAGAGACAAAAAAAACAAATTAGCATCAAATTAATGCAAAAAGAAAATACATTAACGAACATGAGTTAAAAGAAACTGGAGTTGATGTTAGCACTTAATAAAACAAAATAGTTTATGTGAACTAACAATAACATTACAGGCAATGTTTAAAAATGCATGGTTGACAAAACGTACGGGTATGCCTGGTGCTGAATACCTCACGAGACAAATTGTTTTAGAGAAAAGAGATAAATGGACGCAACGGAAAATAAATCCCAGGTTACCATTTTCAGCGACTGGAATGGTGACGTCATCTGCTTCTGGGTAGAAGGCGATGGCTGCCGATGCCAAATTTTTGTCAAAGAAGATTCCAACATTCTTAAGCAAATATTCCACTATTATTGCTTGATGTCGTATATCTAACAAAGCAGCTCCAGCCTGCTCGTTGACGTTGGGCCTACAAAGACGACAAACTTTCACAAATATTCTACTTTTACAAACAAAACATTCGTAGTTTAAGGTTTGTTAAAATTATTCCACTACGAGAAGAACTGAACGTGGCAGCTGTTTTACTTCAAAATTGGTCTTTTCGTAAAAACACACTTTCTAAAGCTACCATATCTTTAAAAAATTTAGCTGAACAGATGCAAAAAGCGGCCGTTTAATGTTTTGTTTCTTTTCAAATCAAATATCGCCAAAGTACACCAAAACAGATCATTTTTGCTGCAGGAGATCCTGAAAAGTTGTTCAGTGCTTAAATTATTTCGATCTTGATAGTTTTACATGCTGTGTAGGGCGGACTTGACATATATGCTCAGGTAAAATAATATGCAGAAATACACCCGCGCTTTAATTTAAGAAGTAGATCAGCGTTTTTTTTAAGAAATGAAGCTCAAATCTTCATATGTGCTCGTAGTTGCAGTGCATCTTTTTTACCTTGAAAAAAAAATCCACTAGCAAACACCATAACGAACATATCTCCAGACTAATCAGAAGTTGGGAAAATGAGAGTCGTGTTTTTAAAGATAAACCAATTTGAATTGCACATGTAGAGAAAATCTGTAAGTCATGATTTAAATCAAGAAAGCTTTCATGGGGCTTGTGAAAACCTGATTCAAAGGTGCTTGCCAAGCACTGTTCAAGATTATTAATTCAATATCAAAGGAATCTCGAAATCGCCAAATAAAGTTTTGGGGATGCCTTATATGATGCTGTGCATCGTAAACCTATTTTTGTCCATTTGCAGCCCTAGAAGGGGCATAATAGTTGAAACGTGCAAGGTTGCTCAAACATTGGTGACTAGCTTGCAAGAATACTTTCACTGATTTGTGCCTTGTTGAGTCAGTTAAAATATAACCCTTCGGATATTTCACTAGTTTAATATTATTTGCATCGACTATACGTTCGATAAATTTCAGCTGATTTTTCGAAATAGAGAAACATATAAAGTAATTTGCTTAATTTGGTAAATAATAAACGGCCAACTATAAAAAGATTCGTAATATTATGAAAATTCATTCGATCAAAAGTTTCTCTTATCATCACAAAGCCGATCTAGAATTATAATTTCTAGCGTGACCATAAAAAAAATTATTCAAACCGAATGCACCAGAATAGCAAATAATGCCATCCTCAGTGATGGGCATAACCAACTATTTTCAACGTTAAGTGTAATTCCAAAAAGCAGGGACGCCGGAGATAGGGGCACAGGGAGTCACCCGCCCCTGTTGCTTTTTGATAGGACGGGCAAGGGGGCCAAAGTACCCTTTTCATAAAAATACCCTTGACATCGGCTATTTGTAATTTACAAAGAGATTCCTGTGAAATTCTGACTATAGGGCCTTATTTACAACAACATTTCTCAAAACTTTCAAAAAAATTTCTTACGTCAAAAGTTAGCCAGTTTTAATTCGAAAATTTCATTATAAAATTCATACCTTAGCAAGTTTGGTGCCCAGACAATGGCTAGATTCTTTTCGTTCATATTGGTGTGACTGGACTGAGAAGCGCATTTCTCAAGATGGCGGAGTAGATATTCTAGTGATCTGAAATTAGAAGGAAATCTGATAACTATTCTTGCTTCACAGGGATAGCGGCAAATGCTAAAGTGTGGAGACAGGGAAGAGTGGAGACAGGGAAGAGTGGAGACAGGGAAGAGTGGAGACAGGGAAGAGTGGAGACAGGGAAGAGTGGAGACAGGGAAGAGTGGAGACAGGGAAGAGTGGAGACAGGGAAGAGTGGAGACAGGGAAGAGTGGAGACAGGGAAGAGTGGAGACAGGGAAGGGTGGAGACAGGGAAGAGTGGAGACAGGGAAGAATGGAGACAGGGAAGACAAGAAATATTTTTCGTTACCGTTCTGGTTTCAATAAACCAACTGATTTCCAACACTTCTTTTAACAAATATAAGAGATCTCTTACCGACAAAGTATAAGCTAATAAAAGGTATAGCTTGCAGGATAATTTAGAAGCATAATTTAGAAAACAGTTTTTAAAAAACGACAAAACGGTCGGGAGGGAAGGAAGCAAGAGGTGGCAGGTTGCTCTGTCATTTATATCCAGCAGATTCGACTATCAAAACTTTGAATTTAAGAAAAAAACCAATAGGGCTTTCACTTTAACGAGCCCAAACACCAGGCCACCGTCTGTGTCCTGAATTGCTTTTATCTCTATGAAAATTTCTACTGTAACCCATGAAGATAAAAGCTATGTGTTACACAGGCACAGAAAGTGCCAAAAAGAAATAAAGGATTGGATGAGAGATCAGTTACCTGTAATGTGGAGGAGGAAGCCGTTGAATGGCATGATGGAATGCCACTGTACGATCCATGTCATCGTCTTTTCGAATTGCGGCCTAGCAAGAAACGGTGGTAATTCAAAGTAAAACATAAAGCAAAATTTGCTTAATCTTTAAAAAAATTGTTCTCAAAATAGATGCACTTTAGTAATAGGACACTGAGGAAAGGATTTTACGAGAGTTAAATTTTCTTTAACCTTACATTTTTATTTAACCCTGGTGATCTTTCATGATAATTTTCTTCGTAAGGTATCTTGCACTGCACACAAAGAAAGAGCGCAGCACAAAAAGATAATAGTATTAAAATCTAGCTTTAAGGTCTTTACATTGAATTGAAGATTCTGAAAAAAATACAAAAAAGCATGAAAATAAACCTACCATAAATTTGTCATAGAGCTCGTAGGTTAGCAGAGGATTTGGCAGCTCTCTAAAATATAAATCATCATCATCATAATTCAACATGATAAAAAGAAATAACAAAAATAAACGAAAAATGAAAATGGCGAGGAAAGGAAAAAGAAAACAAGCAAAATACGACAAAGTTACTATGAACTACAACTGAGGTTTAGAAATCAATGCTATTAAACAAATTAGATTGTAATATTATTTGCATAAACGAAATAATATATTGGGAATGAGAATCAATAGGGCAGCACAGGGATAACACCTGAAGGAGAAAAAATAGTGATGTAAAGACCTATCTGACTGTTTACTTGAGTTTTGTCTCGCTGAGAGCCGCAGATTGGAAAAGTCAGAATATACGTCGTGGTTTTTTGAAAAAAAAATGTGCTTGGCACAAAGCTCACCTGAAATAGGTCTTCAGTAAAGAGGAAATACAGTGAATATCATGGAGGTATCTGCTTTCAGACAGGTCTGGTGGCTCTTCATTATCAAATGCAAGTCTAGAGTGAATATTAAATGCAACTAACAAATAACATAAACAATTGGGAATCAGAGTAACTGGGGATGATAGCTTGATTAGGACTTTTAATTGCACTACTAGTTGCAGTATCTCTGTTTTTATTTGTGATTCATTTCAACTTTTCGTAACAACGGCGTCCCATACATGAATCAAATTTCTCAAAAACAAATACCAGTTTCGTCTAAAATACAGTGAAATACGAATAATTTGATTCATGTAAAAAATTCAGAGTTCAATCTTCAAACAGTATTTGCGGCAAACAAATTAGCAGTATTCGTTAATGAAAATATGAGCAAAAAATTGAACTTATGGCCCTTATTTTGAAAAAATATTTGCAGATATAGAATCAGTGATGTTTACTGTCTAAGAAAAAGCATTTTTCAAAATTTTGGTTTTTTATGTCAGTGGCACTTTCAAGTTCAATCTTTAAACAGTATTTGCGGCAAATAAATTAGGAAAATTCGTTAATACTTTTGACACCTGTTGTTAACAAATACATAGATTAAGCCTTGAATGCAACAAAAAACTGTGAGAAAACAGATCCCGGAAGCAGAAAGAAGGCTCTACGAATAAATTCTTCTACATCAGAAGAAAATTTAGAAAGAAAAATTTCACGTTTCAACAGGATAAACATAGAATGCGTCATCTTTGCAAACTAAACAGTTAAATACATAGCTGCTTTACAAAGCAAATAACACAAATGAAAAACATTTTCTTTCAAACAATTGGAAAGCTGATCAATTTAAAATAAAGTTTTGAAGCATTTTCTAGGGCTTTGATTATTATTTCATACCTTAGACGCTGCATATTTGATGTGATGCCTGACAGTCTGTAAATGCCATCGACAATGCCACTTTCCTCAATGACAGCGCAACACATTTCCAGCACAAGTGGTACTGTGAAGAATAGACGTACCAACTATAAGTTAAGGTTTTGGCAAGCACACAATGACAAAACAAGATATCAGCATGAAGACAAAAGTGGCTTGAGTTTGGAGTTGTTTAACAGCAACCAAATGCATACAAGGCACTTCATTATCAAGAATTTATCTTGCAAAGCCTCTCCAATCGAAGAAAACATAAGAATTCTCATTCTTTTGGGCAAATAGGGCCTGTTACTGCCTATTAGTGTCGGATCTTCAAACTATTTCTCACGTGACATCCAATCTTAGAAGTGCACCAGTGTACACATTTGGCAAGTCTTTGAAAAAATATAGCATATTCTGGTCAAATAGCTTACTCTCTCTTCCTGTGCTAGCTAGATGCTCTCCAAGGTCACACCCAAAGGTGCGTTCTCTGCAAAGAAGAAAATATAAAAAATAAAATCATCAATGGAAAGTTACAAAATGAAAGCATTAACACAGGTACCATGTCAAGCGAACAAAAATTGGTACAATAAAGTAACGACTTTGAACCCCATTGATTACCATGTCAAGTTTCTAATGATAGCATTAAACGCGAAATTCATAGTTGCGACTTAAGAATTGTCTTGTTCTGGACACCAAAACGGTTAAAAACCTCTGACTATACGTCATCGAGCAGTCTTCAAAATATCTTTTAATGCATAATGGGAACACCTGTTGCTAAAAACTAGAGACAGAGTACGAGTGGTGCCAGAAGAAGGCATAAAATAAACAATTATAAAAGGTTCAAAATCAAGAAAAGTACTCAATGCGAAAGATGCTAGCTGCAGTCGAATGTGATCGAAAAAATTGCAATGAAATCTTAATTTGCGTTTCTCGAAATCAATAGTTTGTGCAGACTGTGAAAAGTGGATATGCTTCTGTTCACACACCGAAAATCCCCTGCGCTAAGTATAATAAGGACGAAATTAAAAAACTTCTTTCATTTATGAAGATTATGCTTTCGTGGCTTATTAGGGTTTCAGGATATTAGATTTTATCATTACCAATAGATTTCAAAATTTCAAATTAGTGATGTGGGAAGTTTGAAACGAAGCAGTATCGAAACAAGCTGGTCAACTGAAAGTCATATTTAATCATGTCATATCACTTAGGAATTTATTCAAAGGATCTACAGAAAGAAACAAAATAATGGAAATAGTAATATATACCAACCGGAAACAAGCTTTGTTATGAGTTACAGAATTACTAAAAGAAATTGGCGTATGCTTATAGCACAGGCAAATAACATATCACCTTTACGTAGCTTTTTAGTCCAGATAAGGCTAAAGTAGCTGCTATGATAGTAAAATTTCCCACCTTAAAATTCCTGTCTGCATGAGTTCGTCTTTGCTTGGTCTTGACCGAAAGAAGTACCGCAGGAAAGATATGAATTTTCCCCGTCGTTTACTAACTGCAGAAAGAAATTAAAACCAATTCAAAAAATGAAGGTTAAGCTGTTGTATTGGCACACTTTGTTTTCAGTGAGGTGTTGATAGCTTCCAAATACATTGGAGAAAGCTTTTCAGACTAGCATCTAGATTGAATTCATCATATGGAATGATCTTAGAATGTAATTAGCTGTTTTGGCAACTTCCATCTTGTTATCGCAGTAACAATTACAAATTCTTTTCTTCATGTGCTGCTCCCCATATCAAGTCTTGTCAATCTTTCACCTGTTTCGTGTTTTGTAAAATCGATTGAATAGTGCGAGTTTTTAGGCCAAGATTTCAGAAATAGTTTTATCTGGTGCAAGCAGTGTCACAAATACAAATACAAATACAAATTTGCATTAGAGATCTATAAAAACGCTGTTGTTATGCATGATTTCAGTAGGGCCTGATTCAAAATGGCAGCTATGAGAAGAAAGCACCTTAGAAGGAGAGCTGCAATAAAAGCTTCCTAGAAATACGAGTTTGCATGAAAGATACAAAGTCTAGCGAAAACCTGCGCGAAAATATCAATAGTATATCAAAAGAAACAAATAACGGAGAAAATAAACGTAAATAAACGTAAAACCCGAGTAATTATTCGATTTGATAAAAGTCACAAAATGCTGCACTTAAATGAAAATCAGTTGGCGAGATTAAGTTGTCGAAATGAAAGAGTGACTATGATGAAATCAATTGATCGATTCGTTGATTGGTTGATGATTGATTTATTATGGTTATATGATTGATTGACTGACTGATTGATAACGCGATGATTGATAATGATTATTGGTGATGCCTCACGACCTATAACTGATTTTAACGATTATTATCAGGCTAGTTTATCAACACAATATCATCGCTCTGAGAAAGCTGCAAATACTGCAATGTAACCCTCGGAGTAACTGCAATAACTGCAATAAAGCGTTGAATATTACGCGAATACCTCCAGCGAAGTATTATGCTACAAGGAAGCAGTTATGGTATCCTTGGTCAAAGACAAAACTGCAACGTCACAAACACCAATTCCAGAGACAATCTTACCAGCACAAGTTGGAAATATAAACAAAGATGCAACTGTGGCACTACAAAGCATAATCAATTAACAAAATTGAACTCATACATGCCTGAAATTCACCAAAAAACAACTTGCAAACTAAAATGCGTGTAGCTAAGTCATCTACAAAACATGCTCATACGACTGGCAGCTAAGAGCTGGCTTTGCGCTAATTGCACGCGGCTATTTACTATTGCATATAGATCCTCACAGCAGCAACTCAATTTGCTTTCGGACAACATTTCTCTTACTCACAATAACGCTGTTATAATGGTAGCTCCGAACAATTTGTAAACCGTAGCAAGACAATACTTAGGCATTACTCCCTGTTGATAATTCAGCTAGTCGCATGATCTGAGCACAAAAAGTTTATTATCTAGAGGCCCTGTTAATAAAATGTCCTGAGAAAAACATTGCAAGGGAAGGTCCTGGAAGTTGAATAAACATCTGAATCAATCCAGGCGTTTTCACCATGGAGCCTAGAGGTGCATGCAAATACACAGTGTTATGGGAAACAGAAGGGACTTTACAATCGGAGCATGTACTCCAACTTCATCACATCTGCGCTTGTTTAGAAGAAAGCAAGCTAAAGAAATGAAGCTATTGTAGCAAAGAAAAGATAAACACAGCTTAGATTGCTTTTATTGCTAGACGTATAAAAAATACCAACAGTTGAAATTATGCTGAGACGAAAATGAAAGCTATGTAGCTTGGAATGCGATGCTGCATTTTCATAAGTCAAATACAAACATAGAGGGAAGAGATTCGAACACACATTTACCTTATAAAATAACCTCTTTTGGAAAGAATACCCAAAATTAGTTTTAAACAAGTTTATATCTAATTTAAACAGTTGTTCTCTGTCAATTCATAAATACAGTACTCTTCTAATTTTTATTTACGTATTGTACAAGAGGAATAAAAAAGGCCAAAGCCTTGTCTTCATTTTACACATCGTTCTTATTCGTAAGGCGTGGAGATCGTGACGCAGCCTTTGGCGCGAGCCTGGGTGAAACGGCCTCTAGTACAGATCTTGGTGGTAGTAGCCAATATTCAACAAAGATCTGTCACAATACACTGTCAAATTCACACGGCTTTACAAGTTAGAAACAAAAGAATAAGAAGCGAATGCAATGATCAGTATTTTCCTTGCATAGCCTTGAGAAAAAACAGTACAATCCGAAAATTAAACCAGCAGCAACAAATATTCAATTAATGGTATTCACGCAGAAATCAGGGGATGTAACCTAGAAATCAGAGGATGTAACCTATATAGAGGATGCGTGCTAGAAACAAGCCAGTAGAAAATACGAGAGGCTTGTGATCAATAGCAACGAGTGATAAAAAATCAACAAAAGGCTTGCACTGATACAGTTTTATTCAAAAGTCAGCTGGGAACATCAAACTCAGTTTTGAAGAGTGAATAATAAGGTGCCTAAAACATAATTTGCCAAACGATTATGCTGCATCCACCAGATTCTAACAATCTTGCGTTGAAGTGTATGACAACGGTGAACAGGAGCAAAGCTAACCGACAGAGAACAATCGAACACAACGAGAATTGATAATTTAAAACAAAAATATACAAAGAAAATGAATATATATAAATCTAAAGACTTGAGTATGACATGTTTCCGCTTTCAGTTGTATCTGAAAATTTTGCGGTATCAAAAATTTAGGAGTTCCGATGTTAACTTAAACGACTCTACAAAGGTCCAACTGGCCTAACGCGTAATGCAGTTTTGAAGGGCGACAGAAAAAGCCCAACACATGCTGGCAGGCACAAAGAGTTAAAGATTGAACAAACATATAAGTGGCAAACCTTGCTAAACATGAACCTCTCCATAGAGCAAGAGTGCGTGTGAATAAACACAATGACATTGCAAGTAGCCTACACGCCGAGCTCGAAGAGAAATGTTCCTGCGCAGGTGGTTTTGCAGAATAAGATTGTGAAATCTCACTGGCTGAGACTCAAGCAACAAATCAAGCTGATTTAAGGCTTAAGGATTTTTTCCATTCAACTTAGCTATAGAAATATTTAATTTGTCCTATATTTGCCAAGCTTGAGGTTTTTTGCCTTTCTCGCTAGTTCACGACCCAAAGCTCAATACATCCACGGTCTCCTGGGTCTCCAGGCTATGTTTCTCCTGGGACGTATATAATACACATTGTTGCTAAAATTTTAAACTAGGATGCATTTCTATGTTCAGCTGAATTGTATTAAATTGAATTTCTTTAAGTAAGCTTACTTTTCAACAAATGATGCAGGTGCAGGAATAAAAAAAAGTCTACAATCTATAAACACTGTTACATTGGCCAGCTTTAGAGACGCAGATAAGATTCATCGCTGTCTCTCTATCCATCTAAATCATGCCACTCTATCAGTCGCTAGTCGATAATCATTAATCGGGCGAGGATCGAAGAAAATCGTATACCCAGGCCTTTTGTAGTAAAAACAATGTTCGCAACAGATAGACAGCTAGTCCAGAGCATAACTACATATCGCGAGAGCGTTTCCTCAAAAGAGAAGCAGCAACATCGATGAATCCACGCTACAATTTAAGGACCTCTGGACTCTATTCTAATCTTTAGCACACTTGTAATAGAAACACCTTACTTCGGGACTTTTTCTGCTACGTTTTCACTCCAAAAAATAGCTAAACGGATCTTACAAAGGTTTCATTCATTGCCTTGAATCATCATTTTGAAATAACAAGACGCACAGAAAATTCTGGTGCAGCTAGACCCAGCACTTCCAGTATGGCTCAAAATTTCCGTGCAAGCCAAGCCAGGACAAATACATTCTCAATTTATCATGAGCCTTGTTTCTACTCACTTTCAAACCAAAACAAAAATATATATCCATATAGACGAAGTTTCTTTCGCGACACACCTTTGCTGTATCACAGCTTCAAACAACCTTCAACCAACCAACAATTAACCAACAGATGTCCCTTGCTACGGACTTTCATTGCGAATCTTGGCGCCCTAGGATAACCCTTAAAAATGTGTTGCTGGAATTTTTAAGACTCTGTTGAGCTATCAGAAATATTTATGCAAATACACAATGTGAATGATCCAGATATACCGCCTAAAGATAACAGAATGAAAAATGGCAAAACAGACTGTGCCAAAAAACCGTTTGCCATATCCGGCCCTTCACTAACATTTCTTCAATGTATAGTGCAATATTTCGTATTTTACTATTTCAACAAAAACCATTTATTCAATATGTGTTCGATTATTTTGTTAATTGCTAATTACTTTAATTTGGTATTTGGAACTGATTGAAAAAGTATGTCAATTCTAAATGATTCTCAGGGAGAGCATTATTTGAACTTACGAGACAAGAAGCTACAATGATACTGAATGAAAAACAAACTTACTCGGTCTTTGAATTATCGCATGTTGGATGAGCTGTGAGTCCAATTCTTTATCAATGAGAATGTCAACACAACTTGAAGGGAAAAAGCCAACCTAAATCCAAGATAGTGTATCATTAGACTTTAAATTTCCTACTTTTGGGGCGTTTTCATAGTGGTAACAACTGTAAAAAATCAGCTGACCTAGAAACAATGCTCTGTACAGTTTTCATTTCTTTCTTCCATATCGCAAACCAAAAACGACCAGAAAAGGAGACAGACGAATGATTCTTTATATGCTCATACGACCCGTATCATAATCTGGTTTGTCACCAATACGAAGCGCAATTTAAAAGTACAACTACAAACTGCACGGAAATAACCACCGTGAGAATTTATTTGCAAAATTTCAAGGCAATGTGCATATAACAGTGAAACAATCTTGTTAAAAAATTAAATGACCTAACATCGACCAGTTGGTGGAAACTGGCTTAAGATCTGTCTTCAGACAAACGACTGTTAGGTCGGCAGAGTCCCAATAAATAGAATAAAGTCTCAGTTTGAAAATAAGGGGATACCAAATAAATCCCCAAAATTAGTTTTTCTTTTCATAAATGATTCATCAACTATTTCTAGGACATTTATTATTTATAAAAGATAGCGGAATGTTCTTGGGGCATCTTTTGTTTTCTTGTTTCAAAGGGGACCAATTGGACTTTTAATTGAATATGCAACAGGGCTATGAAAGGGGTAAACAGGGGTGGGGCATGGGGAAGAATGAATTAAAACTTAGGTATTGCTGTTTGTAAAGGCTACGGCGATACAATACAAGCCCCGTGTAATCATACCTCAAAACCTTTCTTCCCTCTCCACCAAATTGTTTCCTCTCCAGGGGGCATATCGATCACAGATACAAACTCACCGACCTGAAACCCGAATATACTAAAGATTATATTTCATCGCAGTTAACTTGGCAGTATGGAAATCTCATACTTGAAAAGATGTTATTATGAATTGTAATGGTAAAATAATCAGCAGAAAGCCTTTCGGCTAAGGAGTTGAAAAATTGGATAAATAAAAAGCTAGAATACCCCGCCCATTGCTTAACTGTTTGATCGTTCTAATGAATGGAAGACTTTCTAGTTGCCATAGAGGGCAGCTGAGTCATCTAGAAGGATCTCTGTTCCAACGTTTAGCGCCGTCCCTGTAGTAATAAAGCCTTATTCTTTGTTGACATAAAAGTAGGGTTTTAGATGACCATTATTTTGTACTTGACTCTTTTCAATGAAAATTTGACAGAAAGGATAGCAAGAAGGTGAAAAGGTGTTGGCGTCAATATGAGATGCAAAAACGTACCTCTAAAGAAATCTCGTCAGGGGCCTGGGCGACGTAACGTTTGATCACGTGGGCTGCAGCAATCGCAGGAACATTGATAGCAGAGTCGTCGGCTTCCATGACAACGAGATGGTTTCCATGATTATCAAGCTGAATTGAAACAAAACGGCAGTTACTTGGAGGAACTCAACACAATAAACATTTCAAGGAATATTGAGAGTTTCATGTTATAGTTGGCAAATTGAATTGCTTATCAAACGAAAATGAAGCGAATGGAAGTAATTCAGATAGAAAGCACGTTTTGCCTAGACTGTTCAACCATATCTAATTTTAATATAATGCCACCGTGGAAGGCACTGAGGGTAACATATATTTTAATCGTATGCAAAAGACGTAGAAAAGGGTCTTTAAATGCTTTCTTCCTACAATTAGCCTCATTTTTATGAGAAATATTGTAATGAAACTTGAAGTAGTCTTGTTTTAAGTTTTGTATCAATTATTGAAATAAATCAATCTTGCGGAGTTTTCCAACTCTGCTCAGCAAAATCTGTAACAATTTATGGTTGATGCAGAATAAGTACAGTTTTTCAGGAGGAGACAAAATATGGCATTTACCTGAATGAAGTATGAATATTTTTGGGTACAAATATTTTATATTGAAAAACCACATCAAAAAGTTGCAGTAGCGAAAAATGGAAGCACACAGGCAAAGTGTCTGCATAGAATTCGATGCCTCACAGGCAAAGTGTAAGGCACATTCTTGCGCAGAGCATTTTTTGTTTTTATTTCATAGGCGAATATAGCTATTCAAGAATCGAAGATTCTTATTCAAAGGATCATAGCTTTTGGATTTGAGAAAAAAGAGCCAAATATCTTATATAAAAATAATTCAAATTCTTTCTCTGAGAAACATATTGTTCAAAAACCAACATTAGTTAGATTAAAGGGTCTGTAGCTCAAAATTGCAGACACAGACAAGAAATTACAATTGAACCTTGGTCAAAATACAAATATTCATGAAGATTCCTGTTATATTAAGAACCTTATATACATTTCTCGTTCTAGAAAAGATTTTTAGATGAAAATGCTTATCGAAAGTGCCTGTTGGTTTTTAAATTCTTTATTTCTTTTGGGGGACTTGCTTTTTGCCGAAATGTAGGAACGACAAGGCCATAGGTGTTTTAACCGCAAAATATTACGATAGAAAAGTGTTAAAGTGTTACAATAGAAACAAGGAAATCTTTGTCAATTTAATACCTCAAACCAATTCAAAATGGGGCCACAGTTCAAATTGTTTCCAGCAATACTGTTGAGTCTTTCCAGATAAGCAATGGTTCTTTCCTTCATATTCTACAATAAAATAATCTTGGTGACTGCTTTCATGAAATAAAAGAACAGTGCTCTACTAAAATGTTACATATTCTATACGATATTGCCTCTCTATCTTGCTATCAAACGCGCTTCGAACGCGCCTCGGATGCGGCCCGAACGCGCCTCGAACGCAAGATCGTGCAAGTTGAACCATGGAGATGAGATGCTCATTTAGGGAAAACAAGGAAAAGTATTGTCCTACACCTGAGAAATGAAATAACAACATATTTTTTCAATGAACTAATAAAAAATTCATAGCACCATTGTATTATTCACTGCCGTTGAGCGTTGGTGTTCGCGATGAGTAAGTTGATGGGAGGAAGCTTATAAACAAAATGAATAATCCCTCTTTTTGACCTAGGAGGGTATAAATGCTACAAAAGCAGTATGCTATTGCCCATTGTCCAAATAAAATATTACAATGTGTTACCTTTTTGAATCACAAAACCTATGAGTAGCCTATTGTTTATTTACTCAGGAATAACTGGCTACGCAAAATGATGCAATCTGCTTTATGATAATAATATAATTTATCATGAAGTTTGTCTTAAAATTGATATTTAAAATTTTTAAAACTTAAACAGTGTCTCCCTGTAATAAAAAGCCTTGCATATCCTGTGGACTATTATCAAAGCAATACATTCATTAAAAAGCCATAAATACGGCGCAATGAAATTTCCACCTACTGTATCTATCACAATACTCCTACTGCGATCGATTTCACCAAGATATTCCAGTTTGCTGAAATTTCTGTCGTATATGCATCTGAATGATGAGAAGTTGATATCAAACAATGCTTTCTCCTCACAAAAAGCAAAATGAAATAACCATGTAGCTTCAATATCTCAATATACATGAACGCCATGACACTAATTGTGATTGATTAAATCTTAAATCGTCATTCCAAGCATTTTACTAGGCCCATTAAATCTAATTTAGGGCAAAAGAGATCTTAAATCGTTCTCATCGCAAACTCACAAACAATACTGTAATAACAAAGCCTATATATCACTTAACCTTGAGAATGAAGAAAATATGAAAGAAAAAAGTCATACCTGTGAAGTTGCCTGTCAAGCCCTATCAAGTCTTGATAGCTTCTTCTCACTGTCCAACTTGTGTTGCCACAAGATATTGCGATCTATGAGAGAGAAAAATGCGAATTTACGTAGGTTGAAAAATGAAACACTACAATATTTTGAATTCGTGTCTTTTGCTTTCGTGCTTAGGAATCAGCTAAAACAGCATGAATAAGGGTTAAACAAAACTGAAGCTCTGTTAGTATTGGAAACATTCCGCGGTATTGCCCACGAACAAATACTTGCAAGGAAACTGAAAAATGCATAACACATGCCATACAAGCTGAGCCGGACATTGATCTCGAGAGCCACTGTTTTATCTGACATAAAATGCAAATCATGAAGATGGATTAGGGAAAGACTGAACAATTGGTACTCTATTACTGACTAATTGACTGCAATCATTCACGTTAATACTACATTAACGAAGCAGCATGACTAACCGAGTAAAGTATCCCTTAAAGAATACTTGGTTACCTATCTTGGTTGCCTGGAAATTATGCCGAATTTATTGTTTTAAAATTGGATTTTTTGAGTTTTTCGGATACGTGACGTGACGTTTTAAGTTTTTGCCATTGGAAGATTGAACCTCGGCAATACTGGACAGAAACCTTGCATCAGGCTACCCCCGTGCTAATAGTATTCTATAACGATAGTCACGGGGTGGGTGTGAATGTTCCAAGCATAGCGGATTGATCTTCTTAAAAGGTAACGGCGCCAGTTGATAATCAAACACTGATTTGCCAAATTATAATCGACCTAATTCCTCTAGAAATGGATAAAAATTTTAGGCTCAGAACTACTTGGCAGGTTTGTATCTAATTTTTTACAGTAATTAATCGAAAAAAGGCCTTTTTAAGACAGTGTGAGCCGCAACTGTGCTCTTGGATACGGGGGGGGGGGAGGTGTGGTTACTTTTTGGGTTACTAGAAACTTAGCAAAATTCATCTTTTTGGAACAGGCAATGATACAATTACATTTTTGTTAAATGAAATTCTGAGTTATTGTTTTAGGTCTTGAATATGAGAAGTTTTGAAAAATTAGAGAAAAATTGCAAAACATCATTTTTATATTTATGGCCTTATAGACGTTTAACAACTGGCATTGAATTGCCGAAGCGAAGCAATGTCTTTGATACTGAAGCTGTAAACTTGGTGTAAAAAAAGTAATTATTGATAATGCTCAAGTTGGCTAAAATAATGAAAATTCTTATAGGGCTTCTGTGGTATCGAGTTGAGCCAATACGGCGCAATGAAAACAAGGAATTTATGAGTTATCGTCGTGGATATCAATTGAGTTGAGAAAGGAGATTCACTTCACAGGGCTTATAAAGATAAAGACGCACTTCGAACTGACAGAAAAATGTGCCGCAAACCATCAGACACAAGATTATGGATTGCTCTAGCCTAAGGCTTAGCAAATTAGAAAATTTGCTTTAGAAATGAATAAAATATCAAGATAATTAAGCCACTTTGACATGGCTTTGACTACGGCGAGATATATGATTTAGACTCGAAAAATCACATATAAACACGAACATAAGTGGCTATTGTCGTTGTTAGAACTAGTCGTTAGCGATAACAAAGCTCTATCTCGAGTTGATAGAGGGAGGGACGTACTCAGTATGTGAATTTCAGGGATATTTCATCTACATAATTTGAAAAGATTAACAGGAACCAGGGAATGTTGTGGTTGGGATTGGCCTTTCGGGTAATATCAAACTGGACAAAACCCATGTTATTTCCCACAGGAAAATTTCAAATAAGAAAAGCATTTCAAGGTTAAACTTACCGATAAATCAATGACAACAAAACATCATTTGTAAATAAATGTAATTCAGTAACTATGGATTATTTCAAAAATCTTAAAGGAAAAGCGAGGAAAAATAAAATTTCAAAATTGTTACTCTCCTAGACATGGTGTTTGATTGATAAAATGTCAAATGTCGAATGTAAGTCCGACAAACAAAATTCACGGCTTCCACACCCCAACTAGAAATCTTCAATTTCTGTTTTTCCTGACAAATTTTAAAAAAACCTTTTAATTCTTAAACTCATTGCGGCCATCAACACAACACAAAAAAGATTAACTATTCTTTTTGGCAATGAGTTGTCTTCCAGAAACCTTTTATAAATTTTCGCTTTCTCGTTTGCTGTAAAAATTCCATGAAAACCATAGTCTAACTTGTACATGCATCCAAGGTTCCTGTAATTGGGAGAAGGGCAGAAGAAAAAGTTCCAGTAATTGGAAGAAGGGGGGAATAAAGGTTCCATTAATCGGGAGAGGGCACACCGTAAATTTACAACCTGACGCTAAAATCTCATATTCAACCGACAGTTTAGTCGGACATGGGTAACAGCTCACCCTGATCAATAAAAATTCCAAGTTCTGGTTAGATGTATAGCAATGGGAGAACTTTTGCAATTTGTTCTTCAATAATATATTGCAACCCGTATAGCGCTGTTTGCTTGTCAAATTATTTCTCGATTATACCCTTAGAAATTATTAATGAGCAAAATTTTACTCAGTTATGAATGTCACAACAAGACCATAAACACGTGTTGTCATTTTCAAAAATGAGATCAGAAAGTGTCGAAGCCCTTCACTAAGCCACGTCGGACCAAGGGGCAGGACCAATGCTTGGTACTCTTTCTACCCAAAGCAATAAACCCGAAATTGCGTTTAATATAAATTTAAAATGCGACGAATTACATTTATTCACTTTAGTTTACCTTCGTAAAGCATTGTTAAACTTTCGCAATACAGATATGTTTGTTATTACCATGTTTTCAAGAATCTTGTTTGAAATAGAGACAGTTTAATTTCCAGCGGACTCTTCTTTGCTCACGGGCCAAGGGCCAATTGCCCTTATGTCCCAGTCAGCTTGATGTTTCTTTCGGGCTAATTTACTAGCTACGACCAGCCTTGGACCATTAAATGATTTATATAAATTGTGTAGGCCAATGTAACAAGCGCTTCGACAAAACGTAGTATGCTATCTTACAATATCCTTTGATTTCAAATTGAATAAATCGAAAACTTTTTTCTTGATACACGGAGTCTGATATAAGCCATTCTTTAACTTAAGCACTTACAAAAATAGCAGCTTATGTCTATATTTCGTGAAAATTGTGATATTTATGAGTAGAAATAAAAAACATACTTAAACTTATATTTCCATTGGTACCACTGCCCATGCTTTGAAATAACACCGAAATTGCAAAGCTCAAAAATACATGTCATAAATATTTGGTAAAGGTCAACACTTTGTCATTTACATATCACGTTTTATCAAATAAGTTGCAAAGACTAGGTTCACTTTGATAAGAACAATAGCGAGGTAATGCGCAGTATTAATGAAACACGTTTAAAAATATCTGAAAAATATTCTTTGAGTAAAGCCAAAGTACCATTCTGGACAATATTGTCGAAGTTATCTGGCTCGACAATTTATGAAAATACTTTTCAAGAAGTTTCAAGAAATAAGTTTCAAAAAGACTAGGTCCCTCTCGATTGGTGCGTAAAAATCAGCTGATTGCTACGATAGATAGCTAAATGAAAACAAAGATAAAAAAGGGAAGCAACTCACCTGAACAAACTCGCTCGAATCGTTTCCTTCCAAGGTTTGATCTTCAAACAGTGTAATCTACGAGTGTGTAGAATAAAACAGTCAAACAACAAGCACTGCCAATCCCAAAACCTTCCCTTTATTGTAACAAATGAGTCAGGATGAAAAACATTAACATTGACAATGTCTCAAGGCTGACCCAGCTCTGAATTTACAGTGCCGGCCCGACTGTTGAATCAAAAGAGCTTGGTATTATGAACGAATAAAAGCACGTTGAACTGGACCGCACGAAACAAAGAAGAATACAGTTTTGCATTGACAAAGGACAATAAACGCCCATACGACTCTATAATGCAACCCGCAGACACTGTGCGAGGAAAAGGCGAGGTTCTCCCTACACATAGTTAAATAAATATCCGGGTTAGTGACCGATCAAAGCTAATATGTTTTTAATATTGAATTAATAGGTAATTGGCCGGGGGGGGGGGGGGGAGTCTTCAGTCATAGCTAGTACAGTTTTATCAAAAGTTTGATCGGATAGAAACAGCTCCTTTTAAGAAATTTTACAACATGATACTTGCCAAGAACATCCACCAAAAAAGGATTGTATATTAAATTCTCATTTAAAATTAAGAAATTTCAAGTAATAATAACTAACTTTGAAGACAGTCTCTCGGACAAACAAGTTGCAAATAGGTTAAGGAAAAGCTAATACGTTCAAATTATACAAGAAACATTGCTCATAAACATCTAGAGGAGTTTATTTTTCAGAAAAGGTTATCATAGTCTTTCTTTTTGTTGACGTCACTGGTCATTACTTTTGCCAGCGGTGTTCTTGCACAGCATAGTTGATACTGTATGATCACCATAGCCATTTTATAATTCCGCGCCAATTTTGTTTGAGTTAGGCGACCAGGATTTTTTCAAGTAAGGTTGCCTAAGATTTGATCATTATTCTTAAAAACGATTTAAGAACAATTTTAGGCTCAGAACTACAAATTTTCAAGAAAACCAAGACTCAGCCAAATTCAAGGTACTCTTATAAAAAGTATGTATATGACAATGCTTATCGATAGTAAACTGTCGCTGTACAATGCGAGGAAAACTTTTGATGTAGAAATATGTTTATTCAACAAACTTTGAACTAAATAGCGTTAATTCACCAACAAACGCGTTTACGAAAGTGAATGTCTGTCTCAAGCAAACGTGATTACAAAACAAAAGCGTGTATTGCTTGGCTACAATGTTGACTTGCATGGGCACTGAGCGGCAATCTTTCAACTGGTGTCTAAACTTCATGAATGTCAGATAGTAGCAAAACAAATGGGGGTACCTGTTCCTAGTTACAACCTGATGGATCAAAGGTAACAGAAACCGGCAAAATCATACGGTTGGCCAAAAGAAAAGTATCTTGCGAATAGGTCATTAGCTCGCTTCAAAGAATCTTGCGATTTAAAGGGGGAGTAGGGGGAGGCTATGAGTCCCCCCAATAATTACCAGAATGTACTTAAAATCATACAAAAAGGTGCCCTGCTCTTGGTTTTTAGCATGTTTAGCCCTCCCCCTAAAACGTTTTAGCCCCCTCAATCTGTAACATTCTCCGCATTCCTCGAATTACGCAGGTTGATAAATAACACGATACAGTAAAACAGGAAATACACAAATGAAGAAAGAAAACAATTCGTCCAAGCTTATAGATTAACCTTGATGAACTAGATGGAAATTAAAAATGTAAAGTATACGTGGTCACGGTGGCTAATTTTGTGGAAGGTGTAAGGTGTAGATACATCCCCTTTAACCATTAATCAAAAGTGTACCCCATCTTTTCAAGATCATCATGTTTGTGGTCAAAAGTAGCCATGGTTACAATCTTTCAGTGAGTTGTCATATCATTATTGTCTTTGGTTGATATTTGGCTGAAGCTCTATGATAACCCTCTGGAAAACACTTGGGTTTATTCAACGGAGTCAAAATATCCTCTGCTCATGCAAAATAATTTTTTTTCATACTATCTGGCACTGATGGGAGTAATTTTAAAACTGTACAATAGTTAAATCCGTTTAACCCCCGGCAGTAAACTTCAAATGCAATACTGTACAACATGGGAACATTCTTTTGAAATCTCGTGATAGAATTAAGCATTGCCGCAAACTAGTTAGGCGACATTGATTATTCTCAAACATAGTAATGTTAGAATTTTGCTCGAACGTGGGAAATGAAATAATAAATACAGGATTCCAATTTTTTTTAAAAAGCTAGTAAAAAATCTCATGGAAGTGCTGTAGATACATAAAGCATATGACATAGATATAGATATAAGAGTAAACGAATGGAGAAAGTTCAATAGCAAGAAGAAGGAGCCAGTGGAGCCCTGACAGAAGGCCATGAGAATATTATTTAAGGAAGAAACTTTTCTTGGAATTACACAGAATTTCTTGGAACCTTTGAATAGTGTCTTGACAAGATCGATCCACCGAAAATCTTGATTTTATTGAATAGGAGTTCATTCTATTCAAACCATTTTTAAGATAGGATTAATGGTGTGAAAAGAAGTCACCAGTTATAACAAGCTTGTGAAAAAATGATAAATTCACAGAGCGACATTTCAAAGGGCTTTCTAATGATTGGTTGGTTGAGACAGGTTTCCAGGTTTTGAAAATATTGTATAGCTGTAAGCCTTCAATAAAAAAATGGGGGTTTTTAGGAAATATGGGGAAATATGGGGTCACACCTAAAATATCAGGGGGAAATGGAAAGAAAGGAAAGCATTTTCTTAGGTTTTCAAGACAGGCCAGACGTAATAGCATTTCTTCATCTTCATCCCTTGCCCGTTTCTTGGTATTCTTCACTAAGCTAGCTTGATGAAACATGACTTCAATCTTCGAATCTGCATTGAAGGTGTCAAGGAACAACCAGGGTGGTTATCTACAAATTCTGAACCCCAGAAACCAGATATATGTCGATTTTTCGATGAAAAACAGATTGATATCAAAATTTCATGAAAGGTTGCCAAAACTAGTTAGGCCAGAGAATTTAAGGTAAAGATTTATTAAAAGCTTCCGTTTATGCTCCGATAAGCCGGATTATTGGTAAAACCAACATATGTGAGTAAGTCGACACTAAATCCTAGAGATATCCGTAAAAAAGATGTTTTTTACAACTTTGCCAAAAGAGTAATCTAGAATATTTTTCTGACGTAAGACAAGCTACAGTTATTGTTCCGGAATTTTAACGCACTTGAGCAGACCACAGGTGAAATGAAAAATACAATACAAGAATTAAGTAAAGGAAAGCTAATTAAGATAGGAAGAGAAAGTGGTTGAAAGGAAAGGAAAATGATTGTGCCACAACTCAATATAAACGCAAGGTGACAAAAATATCAAAAACATCAAGGTGACTAATAATGATTATAATTATAATGGGCGCCTTTATACAACATCGTTGGAACTTCAGAAGAGTGATAAAAATCGACTCTCCTTTTAATTAAATCTGATGTGTGAGAATATATCTGTTCTTTTTCATGTTCCTGCTTGTACGACATGAAAAATGGGAAACATTGCTTTACTTGGCACAACTATAACATGATTTGCCAGGGCACCTGACTTGCGATTACTGTACCTTTTCCGAGGGGAGGGGGGAGGGGCAATTTGATGTTTTACGGTGACATTCACAGTCATACTTTGGAGCCATTACCTGACTGCTTCTCGTTGTAAAAAACTTCCATACAAGGGGGCGAAAATTTGGTAGAAACAGAGGACCAGGCAGAAATATGAGGTAAGATATATTTCGACCAGTGAACAAAGGTTGAAAGAGGCATGTCATATAAATATCGAAAATATGAACATAACATATATTAATAATATGGATATAGAATAAATCGAGTCCTGAGGCTGAATCGTCGTATTCTGGCATGGTATAAATTTGTAAGTGAGTTTACATACCATGATTCTTGTAACGATTCCATATACAGCTTATAAAGGCATTATAGAAATACGTAGACAGATTAATCCAAGAAATTGCAGCCACAAAAACAAACTTACTTCAAGTTTTCCAGGAATTTCTACGTTGTTATAGTGAAAATGTGACATTTCCTCTATGCGCGGAAAGCGTGATTCACTGCTCACAAGCCTACAAAAACGGAAACATCTTTAAAAATAAATTCACAGCACATCTAAAAGTGTCTACTAGATCCGCTATAAAATGTCTTAAAAGGGAGCGGAGGTCAGATTTTCCAGAAATGAACATTAACTGCTAATCTACGTTAAGTATTTCGGCTGCACAAATAATTCTTTAGAATAAATCATGCTTTTAGTTAAATACTTTCTTCATTGAAGGCTAAAAAAGATTACCTTGAAATAAATCCTGCACATGTTTTGTGCATAATTCACAGGATTTTTATAGGATAATAAATTGAAACCAAAACCAGTTGTTGGCTTATATTGGTCCAACGGCAAAAGGTTTTCTGGAGAAAAATGGGCAACAAATTTTCGAAAGAGAGGTTCAAATGTCTTCTTGTCTATGTAAAAGAGTGTTCTAGCCTCGAATGGCAGGGAGACCAGCAAAATAAAGGGCACGGTTTAGTTCAAGGTATGGAAACCAGCGGATCATTATTCTTCAAAGTATCAAACATGTATAAGCATTTTAGAGGTTTTAAAAGGGGACTTCGTCTAGGATGGATCTCTATAACAATAAAAGTTAAGCTGAAATTACCTTAGCTAGGCGGAATTAAATTATTGTCTACAACATCGTATTTTCATCCTCAGGCACCACGCACCAGTCTAAAAGTGAGGGGGCAGACTTCAAAGGGGGTGTCAGAAAATTTTTATGCCCCGCCCTCAAGAACGCCGGAAAAAGCCCCTTTTAGAAAATACTAGCTTATTTCCACTGATTTGCTGTATAGGTTCTTATAAGGCTGTTGTTAAATCTGCTATCAAATCTGCTAGCATTAAAAAAAGTATACAGGTCTAGAAGAAATTACTAGCAAGTTGTAGATACACTACTACAGAAGCACGCGTTTAGAATAATGGTATTATAACATATTTTGAACTAAGATCCCTAAATAATGACAAACTCGCACATACTTTTTAACTTTAATTCTTCCAATAGTTGTCTCTTCCAGTGGCTCTTTGAAAATGATTTCATTCTGCAAGCAATGACAAAGATTTCTTGTGAGACCACAATCTAGCATAACGTTTGTTACTCCCACTTATTCAATCTCAACACGATCTATGCTGCTGCTTATCCAAAACACACTTGAGTGGGTTTAGCTCACGTCATAGGTAAGAAATGCCAGATCAACAGTTTCAATAGTTTTTAAAGCAAATGAAACAAAAAAGTAAAGAGAACCAGTAACAACCAATGAGAACCAAAGAAAACGAAAGAAACGAAATAAAAACAAAAGAAAAACAACGAGAAGCAAATTTTAATGTCAGCCAGGTACTGTCCCTGCCATGTTCTATTTGAAGTGAAAAGTATTAAAAACGCTTGAGATGGTGGAGGGGCATTGAAGATAGATCGATAAAGAATGGGGATACCTTTCCGCTCGCTAGCTTGTAGCAGCAGCAGATAGACATGGCAAAGAAAAATATGATGGGAAACCTAGACAAAGTGAAGAAATAAAGCATGTAGCTGTCACAAAACATTAAAGGTAAATTAGGGATGATGTATATGCAACAGCACTTACTTCACTTGGTACTGGCATAGTTTTGTCAAACAAAATGCTGCTTCGTTTGGCATTGACCCTGCCATCCACAGAGAGACGCATAAGCTTTCGGTTGACACTACAAAAAAATCAAGTACTTCAGTAGATAAATCTTAAAGCTCAAAAAATTAGCAAGATAGTGATACATTGCTCGCTTCATGAAAAATAAATTTATGTAAAAGCTGGGTAGATTTGCCAAACTTTTCAGAAGTACAGCAATGAGAGACCATGTAAGCTTGATTCCGTTACCGACCATACCCATAGTTTCCGCACCCCTGATTTTATTTGACAATGGCTATAATCGAGTTGTCACAATTTAACCAATCAAGACATTAAAAACCTATGCAAAAAAGTTGAAGCAAAGTGCTCACCAGAAATTTGACCCTCTCATCCCTAACGCTTATCAAATAGTCTTGTAAATTCAAGAAAAGAGTCTGGTAATATAAATGTCTGTAAAAAGGGAATGTAGCCATTTCTAGCAGTAGTTGATCTTATTCGAAAGCCACGCAACCTCAGACCTTGAAACTTCCAATTCTACACGTGAGCAACCAGGTCATTGGGAAGCAAACATTCAAATGCACGTTGATCCGATCCGGCGATGAGCGGGGAACGTCTGGAGTTGGATTAAACTGCTTTGCATTAGCGCATAAAAGGCTTGGATTCGCGTGCGGAGACACTTACCGGTTGCTATCTGTAGCATCTGGTAATGTCGGGTTGCGTCAGACATAGGGCGTTATTGGAAGTCTCCTTCACAGGATTATGTCCATAATTACTACATATACCTGCTAGAAGGCACACCAGACAACGCACTGCTTTGATATGCCTTTTGGCCTCATATTTCTTTTAGTTTGGAAAAGTACTTGAGATGGCAAATTCTCTAGAACTTTGATTTACTGCATCACACATTTCATTTCCATCAAAATAATGACCAACAACAATTTTGAAAATAGGCTACTAGTATCCCTCGCGAAAATTGAATAATAAGGCAACACGTGATGTAACAAGGTACAGGGGCGTCGAGAGGCGGGTTAGGAGGTGCAAAAGGTCCGGGGCCCGTGCTCCGATGGGGCCCGTAATAAAGTAACATGATCTATTTACAATGCAAAAAAGCTACTATTTCAGCTACTTATACGGAATCAACAATTGTAAGTTTATCGCAGAGACATTTCCACATGTCCTTGATTCATGCAAGTGTTTTTGCGCATTCCTGTAAAAATCCTTGAAAAACTTTTTCAACAATTGTACCTAAAAAGAGCGTTTCCCTTGATCTCCGGGAGATTTAAGAGCGTGGCTACAGGAAATTTTCTGGGGGTCCCAGTTTTGTGAATCACTCCTGGGCCCGAGCTGCCCCTCGATGGCCCTGACAAGGTATGACATGATTACTAATTGATCATTAACTTCAATCTTATTAAAAGTCTGAGATTCTACGAAGCTTAATTCTACTTACGACTTGGTATAAACTAAATGATACATGAGTGTACGGTCAGGGTAAAATCATCACGAAAATAATTCGCTTACTATCGGATAGAAAAGATTCGGGAAAATAACTTCGGACAAAAAACTTTCGGATGCATTTTTGAGAGCTTCTGCCAAACACTTTTTGTGAAATATCCAAAAGCATACTTATACCAAATTTACGTTAATAAACATGGCTAACTTGACTTGGATATATAGATGTAATATAACGAAGAGCCAATAGAACACTAAGAGCCACGGAAAAACTAACACGAATCGATCAGAGCGTCAATTGCAATTAAATTAACATCAGTAAAAGCTTCTGTACGAGAAATTGAATAGCTTGAATGATTTTGAATTCCCTCTCTTACGTTATAACAGCAAAAATGACTTCCAAGTACTATGATGCTATTTTCATCAAACGCCTATCGAAAATCAGACTGTATCCAAGCTCATTTTGCAGAGCTCATTTTCTAAACAACGAAAGGCACGAAGAAAATCTAGCATTCATAACTATCATAAAAACTGCGTCATATTCCTTTCACATAGCAGGAGAGAATGAAAACGAAAATCATAAAAGCCACGAACAGGCACCGCGGAGCGTTAAGAAAAGTTGGAGGTCTAAAAAAGTGGGGAGGGGGGCTAAAACCATATAAAAAGAGGCTTTTTGGTAGTTTGATACTTATTATTTGGCATTTTTTGCAAAAAGTGGGGGGGGGCCTGACGACACGCAAAAAGTGGGGGCCCTCCCTGCTCCGCAGCCCCCCTGCTCCGCGGTGCCTGACGACAGGAAGTCGATGATCAGAATGTTGCACTATTGAAGATGAGGGACGTGATTGCGAATCACAAGAAATTCTTCGTGGAGACAAAAAGCCAGAAATTATATTCACCAGGACTGAAGTTTATCTGTATCATATGTATTTTGCCTGGGTCACGTTTATAAGAAAAGTGACGAGCATTATCCAATGCATTTTCTGCGTCGCTGATTGAAAAGAAGGGTAGGACAAGTGACCTAAAACCTGAAATATTGAATGAATATTTCTGGCTTCCTTTGGCTTGGTAAAAGACTACGGTTTAATATGATCCAAAGAGGTCTAACATGTTCCATACTTTTTCTAGGTCAGCCTCTCGCAAAACACGAAAAAGAGTTATTTTTAAATTCCGTTGAATAAGCAATAAATTAGAAGTGGCAAAATAAATACATAATATTCAAAAAGTTGGTTTCAGATACGCATTCGAACATGACTAAGACTGAAATTAAAAAATAGAGAGAGGAGGGTGGTATGTAGTGGCGTCGCTAGCTCGAAAAAACTGGGGTGGACATAAACAAATTTTTTCTGTCACGCCCTTCGGGCTCTTGGAAAATCCTTTTTAAGTATTTTTTATCTATTTTGAAACTTTTGAACAAGCAACTTTCTCAAGCAAAATTTTTTGCAACAGTAGCTTTTTTGCCAGTGGTTTTATCATGTTTAGGCCCCCAAACATCTTTAGCCCCCCCCCCCCCCTCAAACCATAATTTGTTCTGTGGACCTTTCTCTCTTGGCTGGACAGGCGAGCCACGAGTTACATGCTTGTGCTTTTCAAGCTCAAAACAAGATATGTGTATCTGCCTGTTTCAACTTTGGGTTACTTTAAATCAGATTTAAATCTGATTGCCACTGGCTTAAGAAAATTTTAACCCTGACATTTATCAATGCCATTTAAAAACTTAGATAAACACAATTAAAGTTTTCAAGTTTCGGAAGGTTTTCAAAAGCAGGGCATACGATAATATTGCCAATTCTTCTTAAAAAGTCTTCAAAAGAGAAAAAAAATCACTTCTCTGAAAAATCAAACAGTTAAAACGATTAAACAGAGTATTATGATATACTTTCAAATATTTCTATATCGCACCAGCTTCTTGTTAAACAACTGATAAAATATTTGTTCACAATTTTAGACTTACAAACACAAGATTATTTTAATCAACAGAAATACATTGAATTTTAAACTTTTAATTTCGACACGGGCACAGCATACTTTTTGACAAAACATTCCGAAAACTGGACGAAAAACGGGTTTCTTGAAAGCCATCTTTCCTTCAAAAATAAGAAGGCACCAGGTGCATTGATTTTGATCTGTTAACAAAACAACTTTATATTCCTGGCTCACATGCTAAAAACACTTTAGATTCTCAAAGTTTTCGATCACCAAAAGCGCCTTTAGCCAGCTTGCAAAATTTCTCAATATTTACCAAAAATTGTTACCAAGAATTTAGAGGACTAAACAACATATAGTGCCATATAATACATATGGTGACGGAAATTGGAATCAAGAGTCAGAGACTAATCAAGTAATAATATAAAGTAGAGCAAACGGCGTGTGTTCCAAGACACGTGCTACAAGAACAATGTTAGCTGTGAACATTTCCTTCAGGCGAATTAAAGAAAATTCGAAATTCAAATTAATTTACCTGCGTATACTACAAAGGCAGTAAAAAACCATTTTGATCTTTGCCACCTGTTTAGTGCGTTGTGAAAACAGCTCTGTGTGCTTCTCTCTTTTTGAACACTTCAAATTTCAATATGCCACGATGTACGCATGTAGAAATTTCCAGATTGTGAGCAAAATGCCTGACTCAAACGAGTAAGGTTATATATTTAGGTAGCATCCAGCACCATCACTAAACAAGCGTTGTTTTTTCTTATTTCACACAGAAGTTTGTAACATTATCCAGGAAATCAAAGTTACTTGCACAAAACCAGCAAACAAAAAACAATGACAGATACAAGTAGCCAGGAATCTTGTATATTCACTGATAAGTTGCCAATCGCGGAAAACTTTAAACCAGGAAGTTTTCTACTGGTTATCTTGACATGTGGTATTAATGCAAAGTCTCCAATAAATCCGTCACAAATCTTGCATAAAAACCAAACAAAGAAATATTTTGCAACTCTTCTACAGACGCATTCCAGACTAAACTTTAGCATGTATGTACATAATTTTGCAACTCATTTCGACAAATATTTGCGATCTTCTGGAATGTGTTATCGATGAACAAACTATGTCACAAGGATAGATCTGGCATTAAACAGGTAAATCATACATCAAGAAAAATTACATTGTTCTCAGCATGCTCTTTTGTGATAAAATCACGTGACACACGAAAAAGACCGATTATCGCCCAGACAATGTCACGTGACCTTCGTAACCGATAATTTTCAATGAATTAGAATCACGTGACTATTGAAACAAACACAACAAAGCGACACTTGGGTCTGAATTATTAACGAAGAAAGCATGCTTACTCTTTATTACCAGCATTGTCCAACTGCTATACACCTGTAAAGCATCATTTGACCCTCTGAAAGCTCTCCATTGCGGTAATTTACAAGTTTACACCGATTCTTAGAGTCAATTAGCGTTACCAAAATTAGGCCTAAAGTGCATCTAATCTTGTGGCTACAAAATATTCCCTATAAAAGCGGCATATGAGAGTTAATCACAGTTATTTTCTAGATTTAAACACAGCCAATCACCTCATCGGGAAGCCGGCTGGAATCTAATTTGCGTCCAAACCACTTGATTTCCAAGATCATTCTATAAAATTCTACCGAAATGTGCTAAGATATAAGCCATCATTTCAAAATATTTTATTTAGTAAATACGTAGTTTGGGCACATTGGATCTACCGTAATAGTTCTTCAAATTGCAATTCATTTCAATGGTACAGAAATAGCTATGCAGCCTCCATTTTTGAAGCAGAAAATTAAAAAAGGCTCTCTTCGTTTTTGATGTTTCGGATAAAAATAAAAAAATTTTAATTGACTAAGTCTTGATTAAAATATGACAAGTAGCTGGTATTGGTTACTTTCCAAAGAGGTATAGCAGAATAAACCCCCCCCCCTATCAATACGCTCCCTCTATATTAGCACCCTCTCGTTAAGCCCTTCTCTGCAACTTCAAAAATTAAATAGCCCCCATCCCCTCCGGGACTTAATAGAGCTTCTACGGCTTGCAAAAAAGTGAAAGACTAAGACCAAGAGAAAATGGCAGCGCATGACCCGTTATATGAAATTTTATACGGGCAAGAAGGGTAGCTCCCTTTCCCTAAGTTGGTACATTGAAATGACCTGAAATGACCTGGAAAAGGGAGACGCTGTCGAGAAGACAAGAAATTGACAATAAAACACTTTCACAGAAACATATGCTGAAGTACTTCATGTATCACCACCGCTGTGAAAGGGTATTTAAGCAAAAAACAATCTGTTTTTATGACGCTGAGTTTGTAGACATATGAGAATTTGATTTTTTAGAAAAAATTGAGAAACTGCACGATAAACGTATGCCCTTTTTTTGCATTATTACAGTGTTAAAGTTTGAGTGATAGATTTACACAGCCCCCCCCCCCCCACACAGAGCAGTGTGATTTAACCAAAATCAATTGGCCAAATAATATTACCAAAAAAGATCTATTTCCAGGACCCTTCTTCTTGAAACGTCTCTTTCAAAGTCCTTATTATGGCAGGAAACTCTCCTAAACCGAGGTAAACTGTCCTTGTATAATTTGCAAACATTGTTCCAAAAGAACGTTCGGGATATACGAGTTTCAAAATACGATATTAACTTACGCTATTTGGTGTGTACAACAGGATGGTTCTAAGGTGCCACTCTGAGTTTCACGCTTAATGCGATCACCTGGCAACTTACGGCTCTCGTATGGAAATCATTTAAAAACTTCATCCTACGATTTTTAAAACTCAGATTAGGACTTAAAAGCAAACTTCTCTTGATAAAGCATATGTCCAAAAACAATTTTTCATAGATCGAGCATGGCAAAAAGGGCTTCATTTTAAGTTCAGAAGATTGTCCCTGGAAAATCGCTAACTCTTTTCCACAATTTTCTGTTAAACCGTAACTAGCTAATTGTTCTAAACAGTTTGGCTTATAGTTTGGGAGATATTTCTGTAGGTGTCCCACAATGTTCGATTTTGGGACCTTTGCTGTTTCTTGCATTTACATAGATTTATCAGTGACTTAAAGGTAGGCCTGAAAAGTATGATTAAATTATTTGTGTTATAAAGTTCCCTTTATAATGTTGTAAAGGATCCTAAATTAGCAGCTAAAGATATACACAGTGACTTGAATCGTGTAGATTAACGGCTACATAGATGGATGATGTCCTCCAACCCTGACCCCAGAAAACAAGCTGTCGAAATCATATTCTCAAGGAAGTGAGACAAACTTGGCCATCGCATAATATTTTTCAATAATATACCAGCAAGGAGTGGACGAGCATAAAGATCTTGCATAAACACTAGACCCGAGTCTTCCTTTTCCAGTGATATGAAGTTTCCTTTTCCCAATAGCGAAAATATCTTCGGAGGGAGCAGGGCCGTCGCTAAGCACTTTCACTTAGGGGGGTGCCATTCACCAATTTGCTGACAAAATAGGGCATTGCCTAAGATATTTCAAAGTGGGGGTGTGGCATTTTGATGCAATTGATTTTGTTTATAAAAAAGGATGTTCTCGTTAGTCAATCATCGCTTCAATTTTCGAGTGACTGTGGGTACTTGGGGCTCGAAGGCCTTGAAACAAAACCGAAAGACGAGGTCCCCCTGCGAGCGGAGCGATCAGGAAATTTTTGCGACCACGCCCTTCAGATTTTCTTAAAATGCATTTCTTGCAGTCATTTCTTGCAATCGTTTAGAGCTTTTGACTATTTTTAGGCATACCTACGTTTCATTGATTTCATTCTTAAAATGGATTATCATTACTACTTGAGGCCCCCTCGACCTCAAGGCCCTGAGGCACTTTGCCTCCTTTCCCTGCTTACAGTGGCTCCCAGTACCTCCAGGATCAACGTTCAGAGTTTTTCAATAAACTTTGACCCTTCCCTAAACCCCAAACTTTAGGTAGAAATCAGGTCGCCCTGGATATTGGACATTAGATTCTAGACTCCGGCTGCCGAAAGGGAGTCATTTGAAGTTTTTGGGGGACATTTCCCCCTCCGTGACACCCATAGCGCTTTCTTTTCCTGTTTTGAATTGCTGAGGGCTTTTGAGCAATATTTTTAAGTTCACATCCTCATCTTATCCCAACTGTTCGCTAAAGCTATTGCTTGGGGAACTTTGAAAGCAAAACCCAACAAAACTCTTCTTTTAGAAAATTTGCCGAATTTAGAAGAATTTTCTAGGGGGGGTGCCGCACCGCCCTCCGCTAGCGACGGCCCTGGGAGGGAGTACCAACAACTATTTATCCTTCAACGATGGTGACTGGAAATCGTGAATTATGATTGAATGGGTACTTACGCTAGTGTTGAAGGATCCAATTGATTTCCCTCGAGAGGCGAGTTCGGGCTTGAAGGCTCGCCTTCCATTGAGAATACAGCAACTGAAACAAAATGATGTCCATATAGGTACATAATTCAATATTGATCGTGAGCTGCTAAAAGGACATGAAAAATCGACACATCACCGTGCATATTGAAATCCAATATTTCTGACCGACCTTTTCATCACGCTAAAATTACAATGCATAGTTTGTATACTTTGAGCTGTATGATTGAGGGCCTAAATGCCCTAAAACTGGTTGCCAAACAAATAGAAAACCATGTCCATTTTATGAAAACCATGTTCTCATGATTAATTGGCGTTATTCAAATTAGGGTTTAGAACCTTGCACCCAGAAAAAGTGGAAAGTGAATGGGGTTTTACAAAATTTTTGCACTTCCAGTTTGTAGTCATCCTGAATTTGTTTCATTTTGTGAAAACCATTTTCTCATGCCCAATCCTTCAAGAGCCATTGACATTGGCAATTGTAATAATTGAGTAAATTTATATGACTTTCTTACTGCAATTCCTTTACAATCAGTTTCCTTCTTTTCCCATTCTTTTTGTTGAGAACATAACTCAAAACATGTAAACAATTTTCATGCACCTTAAGTTAGCCTACTTTTCTCAACATATTCTACGAAGAAAAAGATATAAGTAACGAAGCTTTATCCAAATGCTCTTGTTTTGAAGCCTGTAAACCCCAACTCCATCCCCTTATATCTTGGCCGATCAAATTTTGAGCATCAGAGGAAAGAATAATAAAATCGGCATTTTTAAAAGAATCATTCAGATATTGATATGTTTACCACCAGATAACGTTTCTCTCCCTACTTTCCCTGTTTTGTCAAAGGCAACTTGCTATGATCATTTTCTAGGCAAGGAGGGAATATAAACTATTCACAATAACAAAAGCAAAAAAAAAATACAATGACAAACAAAGATCGCGGATCATATAGCGGATTGGGGGCAGTTTAACAGTTTCTAGGGCTAAACATGCTATTTTGTATGGTTTTAAGAATATTTGGGCACTTCTAAGGGGGCAGGGGCTTAGACTTTATCTTCATTTCAATAATATTCCCCATTTCCAATAATTTTCCATTTTTCAACCCAATTTCCAATAATATTGTTCCTGCATGATAACGAAACTCCAAAACAGACTATCTGGCATTCAAGAATCCAAAATACAAGGCAAAAATAAATGTAAATACCACAATATGAAAAAACACATTGATATGAATAGTGTTGATCGTTGGACATACTAAATATTTAAATAAAATTCTGCATCACTAACATAATTATCATTTCCATGAACTGTCTTTTTATTTTGATAATGGCTGACCCTGTTCAAAAGAGGCACGTGCTTTGGAACAGATTTGAATTGGCATTCTACAGCTCTCAAAGAAGTAGGAACGAAGTAATTCATTTTTGGATGGTTTACCTTTGATGCACAAAGCTGACGGTCACTGATCTCAGAATGTTTTCGATACGAAGTTCATGCAGAATGAAGTAGTAATCACACAACCAACTCGTGTCGACGACGCAACTGGTAGGAGGGAGGGCCCTCGTCGAAAGGGATTTACTTCACTTTTCGGCATGTAAACACTTTCGGCAAGTAAACACAGAAAACAAAACGAAGAATGCGTGCTTAGGGTACCTGCGGTCATAACATCAACAACTTGTCATTTTCACTGTTGATGTCCATTCAACCGACATATGCAGACAGTCTACTCGCAAATATCGCAAAAATTCGAAGAAAAATTTTCAGTATTATCAAGTTCGAACATGTTGCTGAATAAAGAAGAAAAGCTTTTAGCATCGCCATAATGGGAAATTGAGACGATAAAGTTTTCTGGCCGAAATTGGCGATATATTCTGTATTGCAACTGTTGTTAAATTTATAGCGAAATCTTTACGATTACAAACCCAAATAGAGTACCATTTTTAGCCTTTTTAGCATCGGAAATTTTTAGAAAAATAAGTTTTGCGCCGCAAATGATTCTAAATTCCAAAGAGGGCTCTCAAGAATAATAAATAATACAGGCTTTATAAGAGTATGTAATTCAAAATTCTAGGTACACTATTTTTAATAAGAACCAATAAATTCAAACTCAGGCTAACTGTTCTTAATTATTTCGAAAATCTTAGGCAGGATTGTTCTTAATTTGTTTCTTAATTAATAACGTCGTGCAAGCAGTGCAATTACTAGCTTTTTCGCTCTAGGGAGGTTTTCAGACCTCATTTACCAACAAAATGAGTGAGACAACCTTCATTCGCCTACAAGTTTGAAAATTCACTGAAAAAGCACCCACACATGGGTACAAATCCGTGATTTTGAGAGGAGACGTTGTTTAAAATTACATTTTAAAGTAGCTTAATCTCAGCTTGTTCTTAATTTGTTCTCAACTTTTGACCAATTTTGAGACTCGTGTTCTTATAAAATTGTTCCTATAAAAAAATAGTGTACCGGGCAAGGACCATTTCTAATGTTGTAATTATTTCATTTTTTGTCAATCAATACAACAGCTTATTGTTATTTACATCGATGTGCACTCTGAGCCATAGGTCACCTTTTCTTTCTTTTCCCAACGCACAGAGACGGATTTAAAAGAGGCAACTAGGGGCCCCTTCTTTGGAAATTGTGCGCCCCTTTTGAAGAATGGGAATCAGGTGAAAAGGTTTTTGAGACCGATAGGTTAATTTGCTTCAAGGATTACCTCAAAGTCATGTCGTTTAATCCGAGAATGGATCTGAAATCGTTGTATACAGCGTACTCACGTCACCAATTTTGAAAATTTTTCAGCGCCCCCACTACCAAATGCCCCTCTTTCAAATTTGCTCTAGATCCGCCCCTGCCAACGCATGAGTCCTCCCCTCAAATTTCTTCTAAAAATCAATAATCAATGTTTTTCTGAGAATTGTCGAATTGTGTATTCTTAGTGGTATAGTAAATTGTTAAATGTTAGTCTGGGAGATGCATTTATAGCCATTCTAGAAGGCTTGATTTCAAAACTTTTCTTCCGCGTCGGACCCAAAAATGGTGGGTCCTCCTATGTCACTAAACTTGATTCTTAGCCGCAAGATTCAATTTCGTGGTTAGGTTAAATGAGCCAAAAATTGGTCGGAAGTTAAAACCATAAGAAAAAGCTGCGGCTGAGGTACTATAAAACGTAAAAACATAAGAACATTGTTATCACGGATATATCTTTCATAAATGGGTAGACCTTTTGCTACCCGTTCAATGTTTTCTGGATTTGCTAATGTCTAAATGTCTAACATACATCCTTATCATTTAAGAACAAATTAGGAATAACCCAGCCTCAAAATTTCGGAAAACTAAGAACAAAAAGCCTGAACCTCATTTCCCTAGTTCCTGAATATAAAAAGATGTCTTTATTGGCAGCACATTTGCACCCGCCATTTTAGGCAGCCATTTTACAGCAAAAAATCATTGAAATATCAAACAATTGCAATTTTCTGCCAACATAAATTTAAAGAAGCCCTTAAGCAGCAATTCTTTCAAAGATTAGAAAAATTTCAGCATTGAAAATTTTTAGAATTTGTTTATAAAAATAAAGGTAGATTTTATAAAATATTGGGCTTTCTGTCCCGTCTCCAAACTGAAGTTTATTGTAAAAATTCTAGTGGTTAGCGCGTATTCATAAGAACCACCCTTTACTTTCAAAAAATTTTCGAGGTAAAATTTGTTCATTTCCTCAAGCTTTTGTTTCATATAAACAGGTTCTTAAGTAAAGATAAACTAGTGGATTGGAGGATCATTAGATTATCTACTGCAAACTAAATTTCCATATATCAGTATTTATAGGGGAGTTAAATTGTACAGCAACAATAGATTACGCGAGGAAGGCAAAAACTACCTTAGCCCCAAAGCAACAACTACCTCGCTGCTACCGAGATATTTCTTAGCACATACCTTTAAGAAGTTTCATCTTTTCACTGTATAAAGACCGGCTCACTTTGCTTTTACGTCTTGGCCTTTGTGAACGGTTAAACATTAGTGTTGAATAATGGCTGCCTACGTTAAAGCCTTCATAACGATAGCGAGTTGATTAAAACACCTTGGAACTGCAGCAAACTGTGAAAACTGCTTGCATCACCTGGATACAGCTGGATCTGGCGATATTGCTGGTAGGCTTGTGGCATGTCATAGTCAATAGGATGCTAGTTATTTTTACAGTAAACAAGAAGGTTGAGGACGTGTTTTGAACGCTTATGGAAGGCAAAGACTAATGTGGGCTCACAAGCATGTGACCACAAAAAAGCCTGTGCAATGAACCTGACGAATACACAGCAATGGTTTACCATATGTCGAAGGTCTTTGCCTAAATTATCTTCAATACATGAGAAATAATTGAACACAAGGAAATGTTTTAACTGAATTTGCTATGCGTAGTTGCCTCACTTGATAACGAGTACATGCTCGAAACGTCGTGTTTTTAACAATCAAACTATCATATTTTCATTCTGGTACTAAATTTATTTGCTAACTGTATTATCGTAGTTGCCTTTGTATCGATAAGGATAACGTTGCCTTACGTTGCGTTTATGTATAGCTATATTTATACTTATTATTACATCATTATAAAGGCCAGTTCCAATTTATCTAACTAATAGGGAAATTGACAACTGTTAACTGTTGTTAAACAGGAATTGTGAAAGGTTCCATAATGAGTACATCTACTTAGATCATAACTTGCCTCGACCCTGCAAAAACATTAGCGAGGGAGATCTATCGTTTTATGCTTTGCTCAAGCCATTCATGTTACGAGTCAAATGTATGTCAGATTTACAAAATACAACTTTAGTCATACAGAACAAACTTAGATAAAACGACAACATTGTTAGTAAGTTTTCATGCTGTTGCTGCTGTTGTTGTTTGTTTGTTTTTATATTCATTTTTGAGGTTTTTGTCAATGATCGTGAAAATATTCATGTCATATTAAAAATAGGTAATCAAATGATAACCATAGATAAAATTTTCATTTATCTCACAGCTATCAATTCTTCTAAATACCAATAGATTATTTGCGTTGCCTTCCCTTGACAACTTCCAGAAGGGAAGTTGAATTGAATATTCTTTCTGCTAGGACGGTTATTCTTTTAAAAAGATAATTAGTTATAAATCCTGTTACCTCCTGCTGAATAAAATAAAACGAGGGGACGCTACACATGTGTTGTTTATTACGTTACGTGGGTACGAAGACAATGGAAAGTGTTAATGACAGTGACACAATGGAGGACATGATTACGTTTAGACAATGGTCACTACAAAGCAGAAGATCTATTCAATGTCATTAGTGAGAAGGAAAGGATTTTGTCACTTGAGATAGGAAATATGGAGACAAAATGAGCAGAAGCAGCGATGGGCTTATTTCAGAGGCAGTTACAAAATACAACATGTGAAAATGTCCTACTTTGTAGGTATCAAACTGTCTACGAAAACTGCACGAAACTTGAACCAAAATTCGTTTCTTGTCCTAAGTCAGTGCAAAAGCAAGTTTGCCTTAAAAAAACCAGATCATAAACTGAGAAACAGTCAAAAGAGGAGCTAATAACTTAATGAATAAAGACATTGAAATTATATGCTTACAAATCTATGGCTTGTATGATGACATAAGAAACATAACGTTTTGACGGAAACTTATGCTGCAATTTATGACCGTCGATATCTCTATATTTGTGGGAGGAGCATTGGCGTTTAGGCCGTAAGCGTATTTTCATCTATAATTTATCATTAAATCCTAGAAAGATGTCCCCTGATACCTGTTTTACAATCCTAAATAAATTATTATGTCGGAGAGATAAATTTGTAAGCACTTTGTCTCTTAGACGTGATTTTAATTCCTGATTCATCTGCTGTTAAATTCTGAAACGTGCGTACAACAATTTCATCGTTTTTAGCCCTGGACATTGAATCCTTCACATCAAAATTATTTTAAATTCCTTTAACTCGCTTTTAAAACATGTGTGTGGTTTATATTAAATCATGCATAGAATTGTGTGTCATTTTTCAAGCATGCTCCTCTTTAAATTCGATTTTGCAAACTCTAACTTCTAATCTAAAGTCCTTTATAATGACTAGTTCGAATTAGACAGAGACTTTTCTAGCTTTAATAACTGGACCAATGGCGGCGCCAGCCGCTACGCTCTGGTAGGGAGGGGGGACAAGAAAAAAATCAGGCCACGCCCTTTTAGCACTAGAAAACGCCTTTTTACAAACAAGGAAAGCCAATGTTACCTGAAAGTAACGCCCATAACTAACTATTGGCTATTTAAAGGCAGTTTGAAAATCAAAGGATAACATCAAAAAAGTGTTCAATTTAGCAAAAAGGATGCAACGCAGGTGAATTGTTTTATAAAAACCATCGCCCAGGGCACGACATCGATCCCTCAATTTAATCTTATTTGTTTCAGTTAGAAACAATTGGAAAAAATTATAGAGACCAATAAGAGTAAACCCATCCTATTATAAGACGTACCTTTAATGATGATTTATGGTATTCATAATAGTCACACTTGATGTTGCAATGAAGTAACTGTCCTGTAGGATCTTTGAAGAATTCCGAGTACCTCGCCAGACTTCCATTGACAATGGCCTAAAAACATGATATGTGAACGATTTACTTAACGTTCCCAACAGATGCATAAACAAAATCGAAAAGCAGTGGATCGGTGCTTCTTAAGATATTCGCATTGAAAAAACATTGTCTTTACACCAAAACAAATACGAGAGAACAAAACGAAGATCAAAAAGGCTTATCATTGTAACCACTATAATGTGCGTGCTAATCTACATTCCAATGATGATTTTCTTAGATAAAGCGGCCAGAGCATTGTAATGACGGATAAGACAAAAACGGAAAGTCATGGGATTTGGTAAAAAGCTGTCTAAAACTGAATTAATCATTTTATCAGTTAACCATTCAAAATTTTGTAATATTTTCTAGTTCAAAATCTTTTTACGCACTTTTCAAGAAAGCTTCTTTGAAAGAAATTCAATACTTGGATATAAAGACACACACCCTGCCTACAACCAGATTATTTGCTAGATTCAAATTTCTGAAGAAAAGAAGCAGAAGTTTTACCAATATTTCTCGATTACTGATTGGCCAAAGAGGTATACATGTTACACTGACTTGAAAATTTTTAAATGGCAGGGCATACATTCTCCAAAAATAATATTCTGGCTAATCTCTGACCTTCCCAATATTTTCATGTCACGTGGTTAGGAATTTTATTAATGACCAAAAAATAATACATTTAAATAACAAATTTGTGATTTGAAAGAAATTTAATTCTGGTGCTTCGAGCATAACTCTTCGTCAGGTCACATAATTGTGTTGTTTCTGTTGTTGATGTAGTCACTATATTTAATGAAATTGTTATTGTTATTGTTGTTGTTGTTGCTATGGTTCTGCTAGTTTCAATAAATCTTATGGTCTGCTTGTCTTAGGTAAAGCAATTACATTTGAATTTTACTGTGTACCGTACTTTGTCATGTATAAGACGCATATTCACAATGATTGCAGGGATGTGCCCTCCAATGCAGGGTACAACGCTTCCATTTTGGAGTAAAAAAGCTTTTGACAAATATTTTTCTATCTCAGCTAGAGAATATCAAAGTTCTTACTAAATTTCCTGTGAAAGTGTGATTATTCGTATTAAGACAGCAGGTGCGTCAAATATCATAATATTTTGTCTATAAAATGACACTTTGCCTTAAAGGTAATGATGGGACAGTCAATGTTACCATGTATAAGACGCACCTTAATTCAAAGTCAATAATAGTTCGCAAAAAAGGTGCATCTCATACACATTAAAATACGGCATTGGCATACAAATTCTTTGTTTACTAGGTTGCATAGATTACAGTTTGGACTAATCATTCTTCATGCAGGATGGCTGTAAATTCATCATAAATAGTTTAAAATAGGTTAATTAAAACATTGAAAAATGTTAAACGATTTCAATTTTGGGCTTTCTAGTGAACCTTGACCAGGCCTCTCCCAAAGATGAGGATATTTGCAACAGCTTTTCCAGCCCACACAGTTTTGTATTACATCTTTTCCAGTCCATCTTTGCATTGCTGATATCAAGATAAAATGAGGATAAATATTTTATCCTCCGGACAGTTAAACATTGCTTTTTTCATATCTTTATCCAAGAAGATCTGGTCCTTTAATAAAACTCTGTTGTTCTTTTTGAGTGAATTTTCATTCTTTTTGACATTGTGCCTTGGAAATGAGAAACATTTGAAAACATTTAAACCATTATCTTATAAATCAGGAAAATTAATAAAAAGCTCCCATATCTATTCAATTACAAGCTGACCTTGATTATAAGTTGCCCTTGATTACAAGCCATTAGCAAATTTGGTTCATAAAAAATGTAAGCAACCCTTGATTGTAAGCCACATCCATCAAAACCATGCAGAGATACTTGGTTTCAGTTTTTTGATGCAAAACTGATAAAAATCTGATTGTGTATTTAAACCAAAAAATAGACATTAGAAGTCCAACCAACAATAATATCATCCAGCATGGGATCATCAATAGCGCTCAGTAAGTGGACCTGCAGTCAGTGCCTCTAGCCACTGAGCTATCCATGCCATAGGCTGTGAACCTGTAGCCTGGAAATCTGACAAGCCATTTGCCAATGTGTGCTCCATAACAATGACTCTTGTAAAACTGTTACATAATCTGGACATCAAGCAGTAAGTTAATTATAAAAGAATTATTGAAAATGACCATTCTATTTATCATAAAACATTAACAGGTGCATGATTGAAATCATCATCATGTTGAACAAAGTTTATATTTCCCTTGTTTTCTTCAAACAGCAATTAAAAAATAATATCCATGATGGGAACCCTGTTTGGGCCTAAGTTTGCAAGAGTATGAGTGCATTATTAACAAAAACCAACACATAATTAAAAATCTTAAATACTAATGGTATACATCATGGATTCCCCTGCCTATGAAAATATTTCAAAATAAGCTACTGATTCTTCAGTTAAAAAACAATCCATCATCAAAAACTTTTTTTTGATGCCAATCTTTCCGGTGCAACCACAGACAGGTGGGGTAGAAAGAAGGGGATTAGCCTCACAACGACTTGCCTTGCTCTTTGCTTTTAGTCAGTCTCCAAAATATATGTAACAACATCCTTATGAAAGCGATTGAGATGATTAAAATGCACGAAATCATATGATTAAAAAAAACTTAATGTAACTACTATTGTAGATCAAAATTTCAAGAAGGAAGCGAATCGAAAAGAAGAGTGCAATCACTTCCTTTTCCCAGGAGGAAAAGAAAGCTACCTAACAAGAAAGGAAAACAAACCGAACGTTTTAACGCAGCTACTAAGAAAACTAACACACATTTTGCATACTAAATAAACATATTTGGGTAATTCCTGATGCATTTTAGCATAAAGTCATTTTAATAACAAAATTGGAAGTTCAAGTGAAAAGAAGAGGCTCGAGATTCGAGGGCAGTTTTCAGATTACCCGTTTCTCTCAGCAATGCAGCGCACGAAAAATCAAATTTGTTGGAGATTTTCTGCGAAATGCAGTAACTAACAGAGAAACTTAGTTAATAAAAAGAAATATATTTTTCTTTACTCACTAATTTCGTTCCCGGCTAAACATAAAGTGCGTTTTGGTCTTTTAACATCTCTCTCAGGAAAAAATATTTTGATCTCTCCAACTTTTCACCCTTGTACCAACCATCCAGCCTTCATTTGTCTTTCCTGACGAGGCTGTTTCAAGATAATTTATGCGGACTCTTGGAAAACCCTTGCCAGATTTTAGACGTCGAAAAAAACAATTTATTGGTCAATTAGCGACTGTTGGAGAATTTCACAAATGCAGCCAGTTTGTTTCTATTTTTTCTACTTAGCCTTTTTGTTATTGCTAGAGGCCAAAATTGAAAGAAGATGGAACAACTGAAAGGATCCGAGCGGCTACTGAAAGTGAGAAACATGACGGAGTTGAGAGGGTTGGCAAGTAACGTCGAAGAGTTTTAAAGGCTTGTTTAAGAAGAATGATATTATTGTATGCTTTTCCATGCACAAGCAAAAATGATTCACTCTATAAGCAAGAAAAAGATGCCTTGAGTGAGAAACTGCATCCAGATTTTTTTGCCTGATATGGTCAATTTTGGGAAGAGGAAAGCAATAGTCTTCTTTCAGGTAAACTATCATTTATTCATTTCTATGAAGTTTTAACCAAGTAATCGCAATGTTTTTTTTTAAAAAATAATACGATATAACCAAATACTTAAGAAGGAATGTAGTGGTGGAGCTGCATTTTTAGCTTTTGGAATGTAAAGAGATATAAAGTTCTAGAAGTTAAGAACATAAAAGTTCCTTGTAAAGAGCCAACGCCACAATATTGAGTTCTACTCATGTGCAAACCAGAATAGTGAGCAATTGTAGCTGTTACACTTCAATGCCCAAGATTCTTTTTATGTATAGCAACTAGAATTGCAACAACCAATGTCTTGAACATTATCATATAATAAATTTCTTTCGAATAAATGAAAATCGGAGATATCTGATTAATCAATTATGTTTTCTCTTTAAATTCTATAACCTGGTTTTTGTATTGTTAGGCTGACTTTCATTTCTTCTCTTCCCCAGATTGTTGCAAAATTGTTTGACAAAAAAGGGGTAGTTTGCACCACTAGCAAATAGCTGAAGGATATGAAAAATTGGCTAGAGAATTAGGTAATGCATAGCAGAACTTGGAGCATATTGTTTGGGTTAATTTGCCTTTTTACTTGCAGTTTTTCTTTGTTTGAATTATAAGATAAATAGGCTAAGATATATATAATAAAAATAGAATATATATCTTAGAAATGAGACATGTTCTCCGTTACTCCGAGTTTCGTGCTTACGCACTCATCAGACAGACTATAATGAAGAATATTCCTGTTACCGAGGTATAAATATACAAAAGGTGTGATAAAGTTAGACAAAAGAAATTTTATTTAATACAGGTTAATTAGTTAGGTGGAGTTCTATTGTTCATGAGGTAAAACTTGTTTTCGTGTCGGCATTTGGAGATTAATTCGGATCGTTTGTTTAGAAGGGTGTTGTTATTTGCTTTGATGATGTATAGTTTTTCTGTTAAGCATAGGTCACACTTTTTTGTAATGTTGTTGTATGGTTTGGCTGAGGTGATGATGGTCCATTGTATGTCATAATCCTTGTTTTTGTCTTTAAGTTCCCAGATGTATTTTGATAGTTCGGTACTGTTGGCGTATTTTCGGTTGCGGAATGAGAGTTTGTGTTGTGTAAATCGTTGTTTGAAGGTTCCTTCTGTTAGGCCAATGTAGTTTTTGTTGACAGTGTCTTCGGTTGTGGTGATATGTGCGTTGTAGATGATGCTGGAAGAGAGGCAGTTGTTGTCTAGTGGGCATTGGTCTTTTTTTCGGCAGTTGCATGTTTTCTCGTTGGTAGTGGTGGGATTGGTGTTGATAATTTTCTTGTTGTGTTTGTTGATGATAGTTTGCATATTATCCATACAGCTGTAGCTGACTTTAACGTTGTTCTTGTTGAAGATCTGATGGAATTTGTGATTCTTGGGGAAGTGTATGTGTATGAGCTTGAGGAAAGTTCTGCCGATGTTAGTTTGTACATTCTTGCTGTATGGTGGGTTGTACCAGATTATGTTGCGCTGTCTGTTTCTTCTTTTACGTGTGGGTGATGTGTGGTCGTTGTATTTTAGGGTGTCGGGGTATCCACTGGCTTTTAGGGCGTTTTCGTAGATGGGCTTGGCTTTGTTGAATTCACTTTCGTTGCATGATATGTCAGTTATTCTACGGTTGATTGCTCCAGGTAAGTGCTTTATGATGTTGGGGGGATGGTTGGACTTTGTATTGATGTATAGTGGCTGGTCGTTGGGCTTTCTGTATGGACAATACGATTGATTTGTTAGGTTTAGTGTTACGTCGAGGTAGTTCACAATTTTTAGGTTGGTCTGTATGGTGATGTTGAGGCCGTGAGTCTTGAAAAGTTTTGTAATGTCCTTCCTGATTCTCTCTGCTTGTGGACCAGGGGTGTTCTTAAAGATAGCGAGTCCGTTTCCGCGCCGTCAAAGCTCCCCATAGTCACATCGAACATGTGGCTGTCTTTTTTCGTCCATGTATTTCCTTTGCTGAATAGGAGTGATTTGCGGGCATGCATTATGATGTTGGTATGTGTTTTCCTGAATTCAACATCAACTATACATCATCAAAGCAAATAACAACACCCTTCTAAACAAACGATCCGAATTAATCTCCAAATGCCGACACGAAAACAAGTTTTATCTCATGAACAATAGAACTCCACCTAACTAATTAACCTGTATTAAATAAAATTTCTTTTGTCTAACTTTATCACACCTTTTGTATATTTATACCGCGGTAACAGGAATATTCTTCATTATAGTCTGTCTGATGAGTGCGTAAGCACGAAACTCGGAGTAACGGAGAACATGTCTCATTTCTAGTATATATTCTATTTTATTATATCTATTGCTCTGTGCTTTTGCACATCGAGCACTGTTCACGTCAGAATAGACAACGCAATCTGGAATAGGCTAAGATATATATATATACACTATTTTTAAAGTCAATGGCCTCAAAGCTTAAAACTAATGAACAATTCACTTCCATTCAAGGATGTTCCAATATGTTTTGGTGAAAATTGATCAAAGGGCAGCCTGCATGAAATCAAAACAACAGAGTTTTGTTAGGAAATATATTTTCATCACAACAAGAAGCACCATGAACTTGTAACTCAGTTCATAAGTTTGTCTACTTTTGAACTTACTGAAAATTTTAAATTTGTCTTCAGGTATTTCTTATCCTGGGGTTATCAAGATATTTAATCATGGAAGACCAACAACATACTTTGGTCAGAGGTTTGTATTGTAAAAATTAACTAGGATCCTAGTATATTTGCAGCATATTTTACTTATCCTTTTTGTTATCATATATTTGAAGAAGAAGCTGAAATTACATTGTTATATAATTAACTCTGTTAATGCTTATAATCTCTATCAACTATTACGTTCAAATGCCTTATTTTAGAAATTATCCATTTGCATTAATGATTTATAACTTCAAGATTTCAATGAAGTTTTAAAAAACTTGTCAGTTCTAGTAAATAGGTTACACCTTTTTATCTTTAGGTCACCTGATGTGATGGTTCCGTATCTATCAAGGGTAAAATTTATCTTGATGTAATTGTAATTATCATTACATTTGTATGATCAAAATATTCTCCAGATCATATAATGTGAAATTTGCATTTGTCTAAAGTTGTTTTGCTTTTTTATGTGTAGTATATTGTGTGTGATACATGTATTGCAAGCATAACAAGTGGACAGGATAAACAATGTTGAGGAGGGCTGGCTGCAAAATGACATGGGGTCATGTTTGTAGTCCACAGGACAGATTTTGAGACATACCTTTTCTTTTGCTCAAAGGTTATCTCTCCAAAGCATTTTTGGCATTACCAACAAGTGAACTTTGAACATTTTTTTCGATATTCAAGTAATCAGCATCAGCGGAGAAAAAAATTAAAAAAACTGGGCAGCGGGAAGGGAGGATTTGAACAACCTACCCCACCACTGATAATCCATTCTTAGTGTGAATTTTCAGGGGCTTTGGTTCTAAAATTTCTTTTTATTGTCTATTATAGATGTTTGAACAACCTGTGACAAATATAATTTCAAAAACTGGAAAAAAGAACTTTGACAATGTTCAGTTACCAAAAGTTGTTGCTTATGTGGAAAAAGAGGGTCAAGGTTGGTTTGTTGAAGTGTATTTCAATTCTAATACTACATGAATGACTTTTAGTGCTCTTAAAAATATGTTAGTTATATAAATTTTATGTGTGCCTGCAAAAACACTTTTTTAGCTTTAGTGTTCAAATACTTTTCTTGATATTGGTATGCATTTTCAGGTAAGGCCTGCAAAATATTTCTTTACAGTGATAAAGGAATGATAGAACACAATGTAATTTTCTTAATCAATCAATAGCTGTAATCTGTTGATCTTGCAAGCCCTCTACAATACGTTTCTAATTTTTTTTTCTGTTTGTATTGTAGAGTACACAGAGCTTGTAAAAACTGCAATGTCTTTTCAACCAATGATTCAGTTCCATGCAGTCTTTGATGCAAAGGTAATTTCATGCCTGAAGAGATTTAAGAAATTTAGAGTAAAACCTACCTCATTAGACGTTAAATGAATACTGCTCATTATATTCAAAAGAACAAAGTAGAATTGAGCAACAAATTTGGAGCCAAATCAAAATAAAGTTAAACTAGTATATAAGCTGGATCTCTTCATATCATGCAAAATAGCTTGACTTATGCCAAGTCTGAAATTTCATGTGATGCTTGTGTGGGAATTGCATGCAGTTACACATAAGCTCAATGGATGCCTGCAGTGTTCCAGGTGTGTAAAATGTTGCACACCTTGATTTTTGATGAGAGAATGTTTTTGAGTTTTCATAAAAATATTCAATGTTAAACTTTACATCTTTAAATGTTGGTATTAGTATGTGCATCCATATCAAAGTCCTACCACTTTGGCAGATTTAAGTCACACAACAGTTATAAAGCCAAGTTGTTTACAAAGGGCAAAACTGCTGAACATGAAAATTACGAGCTTCCTTTTGTCCAAGGAATCATTTTTCTGCCATTTTAAAAAGAGAACAACACAACAGATGAACAAAAAATCACATGCAAAGTCTCACAACTGATGCTTGTTGCCTGTTATTTTTAGCTTGCCCAGACCCCTGGCACAAGACAAGTGTTTCCTTAAAGCAACAAGGATTAATTACATTGTTTCTGATATATTCTTGAAGAATTGTGTTCCATTTTCTACTTGACCTCAGGAATCAACTACAAATCTGGTAGTCAAAGTAGCCAGAAAATTGGTACTTGTTCTAAAAAAATTAGATTAGTTTTATCAAATGCCTAAATGCTGTCCAATGACTGAGTGGCTTCACAAAGATCATTATAATTCCAAATAACATCGTTACAAGCAAAACCTGATGTACACATGGCACTGCTGGATATATTTTACTTCTATGTATAGCAATTTAGCATTCTCATAAACTCTTATGATGTATATTTGCTTTTCATATATTAATTTTTTTAGATTGCAAAAAGTCTGCAGCTGAAAAAGATTAATTCACTACTCTTTATTAAACCATTTGAGAAAACTTTGAAACTGCCCAGTGCTGTAAGTGTGTGTATTAAAGTTTTCTTTTAGCCAATATTTTAATTGATATTATTCATTTGCTAAACTGTTATGAATCTAAATGATAAATGATGAATTATGGAGAAATCAATTAGATACACATAAAACAATTTAAACTAATATGGTTGGAATGAACCATAACTTCCTGGTACAGCAGCTCCAGTTTCTTTTCTTTTGTATAAGTGAAAGTCCTATGCACTTTACTCAGACAATAAAAGGGTAATTTGGTGTTAAACTTTTAGCATTTTTAATTTGTTAGATAGGTTTTTTATTGATGATATTTTGAAACATATTCTAAAGATGTTGTATGAAACTTGGTACATGGCTGTTTGCGCATCTTGAAGCAAAATTTGGCATCAAGGTCCACATTTCATAGTATTAAAGTATTAAGGCTAGTTTACACAAGATAGTTTTCCATGATAATTTTTAATTGACAATTTTTTTTGCTCATGTAGATGAGGTCAATTTGAGCTCATATGACAATTTTTCATATGACAAGTGTACTTTTTCAAAAGCTGGCATGCCAGCTTTTATTCGCCATATGAAAAATTGTCATATGTAAAACTTGCTCATGTAAACGCTTTGACAAGTAACTTGACAATTTTCTTTCGCCCTCACACCTCGCATGACCCCGGTGCCATAACTGTAAGTAAAATCTCAACAGCCATGTCCAAGTTCCAATCTTATGTTTCTGGCGCCAAATTTATTTATCAAAGTGAAGCTAGCCTACAAAACTGAGCGAATACTGCTGGCGAAATGCATTGCCTTCAGAACGAAAAGGTGTCAAAGAAACTTGCTGCTCAGCCATATGAGCAAATACATTTGACAATTAAAAACTTGTCAAATATCCATCTACACGAACAAGGAAACTTGTCAAAGAAAATTGTCATAGAAAATTGCTCGTGTAAACTACGCTTTATATCATAGCTTTATTTTTCAAGTGTTATAGACAACCACAAAAGAAACTTCTATTTTTTGTCCCAACATGAATTCATAAAAGTAATGTACTAAACAAGCATAGGTAGACTATTATTCTTAACCTGTTTTCAATCTAAAAATTACTTCCTGTAATGATAATAGTGACAAATCAGATTAAGAGTGGTTCTTTAAGCACAATCAACCAGCACATACACTTTTACACTGTTTAACAAGCATATTGTGTCATGCAATTCCCTAAATGGTGAATGCTGTAATTTAAAGATGATTCCCAGGGCAACAAAATAAAGTTGCTGATAATCATTACAAAGCAAAAATGGCTGAGATGCACAACAATGCTACTTTTTGAGAATCAATTGGTGACAAAACGCACATCTTTTCTCGCCTAGATGCATGTCAAGTGGTGGGTGCGTCAAATTGAGGCCTGCCTATACTTGCTGCCATTTTCAAGGTTAATTGATGCATTACAGAGAATGGGCAAAATAACCATTATTATTTTAGAAGTATTACCAGTTTTGGCATTGAAAGTCAAAATGGAAAGTCAAATAATGTTTTCTTGTGATTTTCTGGGCATCCTACTATTTCTATGCTGGGCATTCGGCAGTATGCATGATCTTTGAATTATTGTTAGACTTTTCAAATTCTTTATGCTTTTTAAGATGCCCTACTTCATGAACAAAATTTTATCTTCATTTTCTAACTTTGATACAACATACTTCAATTCCTATTGCACTGTTAATGTAAACTTTATTTTCTGTAGGTTACTTGGAAAGAGAATAAGCTTGTTGATTTTTTGAATCAAAACAAGAAGTAAGGTTCTTGACCAGCTTAGCTTCCTTTTGAGAATATATATTGCACAATGTATAACACCAGGGAATTTAGAATACTTTGATTATTTTCAGTATATAAATAGAAAATTTATATGATAATCAACATCAAAATTGCTTTTCTCTCAATTCTGTACAATATCATCCTCACCCTAACAGGTTTATGGCAACCATCAGACAAGGATCACTGTTAGCAAACTCAAAGTTATTTGATTGAAGTATTATACTGAATATTTCAAAAACTGTATATTTCAAAAAGAACCTGTATATAAATATAAAGAACCTAATATGTAAATTTTTTATTATCTATATTGTCATCTTGTCACATTTCATAGGCAGAGCATCAAGAAGATGTTATTAGAAAACATCCATGAAATATGGGTATGTAAATGAATCTAATTTATCAGAAGACTCTGTAGAATTCATCCATGAATTTATGCATTGATCATTCTCATATTCAAAGATTGGCTTGATTATGAGAAATTCATCGTTATTGATTGTCTGCATTAAACTTACAAAAAGTGGCACTGACCATTCAATGATTTTCATTTTTAGTCACCAGACATGAAAGGATATATAATAGCAGTATTTGCCAAAATAGAAAACCCAGGTAAACTGATTATTATGGCTGTTAGTAAATAAAACCTGTATTGTGCTCTTAGAGATCATTAAATATTTAAAGTATAAAAAAAATTCATCAAAATGAGATTCAATTGTGGATATTTTTTATTTTCTTTAATTCCTGTTACCGACCTTAAAATCTTTTTTGTAAATTTTGTTGCAAAGCTTTGTCTTTCAACAACTTGATGTAGGCAAATCAAAATTCCCATTGTTGGTCTATTAAAAAGATATCCCATTAAGAAAATTCATCCTGTTGCCTGGCTTTAATATATGCTGACCCTTTAATTGTTGCATCCAATCCTCATAGACAGACCATATATCAGGTCCCCTTGCAACCCAGGAACCCAAATGGTGGGTCTTGACAAAAGAAGTGTTTTTAATTGACACAATTCTGAAACGTGACACAAATGGTGTTCAATAGTTGATGACAAACAGGATCCACTAGGTAGTTGCCAATTACCACTTTTGTGCTTTGTGTTTTATTAGACTGGCAGAAACATAGTTGTAAAGGGATCAATTTGCCTTTGGTGACTTCTTGCCTTTGTCCTTTTTAGTTGGAAACAGATTTTTCTCCTTGGTCAAATCTTTGGTGAGAAGTGTTGGAGACAACGAAAAGCTTAATTTTGTGTGGATAGATCCAGACCCATTTCCAGCAGTAAGTTTATAGAAATTATAGCAGAAAATTGTTAAAAAGATTTATATTTATAACTATCAGATTTATATCTTGTTGCATTTCACAGGCCACAAAGAGCAGATTAACTAGTACACAGGTAACTTTTCAATTGGAGACTGGCCAACCACTACTTTTGAAACTAAGGAAGGGATACTTTAATCAATTTTAACAGAACAGTTTCCAGCATGTCTTTTAGAAGACAAGCCAGGAAATGTCTTCTAAGGCAATGAAAAAACATTTGCAAAGTTTTATGAGAACCCATAATTGCATTAAATTACTTTATACTAGTTTTGCTTGCAAAATACTTTAAAACTGCAACTTTTTTGAACATATTCTTCAATTTTTTTTATTTTAATTTTAGATGAAAGAATACTGGCAATCAACTTTCAATGTTGACCCAACAAAGCCCAGTATAGGTGCCGTGGATTTGAATGAGGTTTGCAATTAAATTTTAAAAAGTTAATTTATTCCAGCACTTCTACTGAGCTTTTTTCCAAGGATGTTTAAATTTTTTGGAAATTAATTTTTTTGTAAAAAAGCACCAAAAAACAGAAAAATTAAGAATCTTCCCAGAAATGGTCCCCTCTAAAATTTGTTTGCCACAGTGCTCACTGATAAGAGTACTTTTTGTGATTTACAATTCATTTGCATTTATTTAGTATTCAAGAAGTATCAATTTGCTTTAACAGCAAGCATCTACATGGCTTTTACAAAAGGAAGATAAAGAGCTAAAATTATCTGACTTAAAAAAATGGTGCAACAATTTGCTTGCTGGAAAGCTGAAATTAGTTCCATTGAGAGGTAAAGGAAAAGACCGACCTGAAAGTACAAACAATGAAAATGCCAACACAGAAAGCAATATTCAAACAGGAAAAGATGACAATTCCGGAAACCAAGAGGCAGGCAATCAAGGGACATTATCAAAAGATGAAAACAAGGATGAATTATGATTTTGTTAACATAGCAGAGCTGTTGATAATTCTTTAGGGTTATGAAATTTTTTTAAATAAATTTCTATTTTACCTTTGATATTGCTCAGCATTGATTTCAAGAAAATGCTAAACAAAAAAATATATGGCAAATAAAATGAAATCTCGTTTTACTGTGGTGCACTTTTTGCCTCTTTTTGTTTTTATGATATTTACTAGCTTCTTTCTTAATAAAAACTTTATTTCTCTGAGATAAAGGAATAAAATTGAATCCTTCTCAAACTTTCGACTCATCCCAGGTAACATTTTTACTTTGAAGAAGGAAAGGAAATCCAAAGGGAATTGAAAATCAGCCCAACTTGATTAAATTCTGGGTTATCTCGGATAGTAGGATTAAACTGTATGGCTTTTTGCTTTTAAAAAGATATGCTCAGGGTTAAAAAAAACAGAGCTAACAGCCTAAGCTATTTTCTATGACATTAAAACATTATACATACATGATAAACAAATTATGATAATTATATATTACAACTTAGTATACAAGCAAATTACCCTTAATCAAAGCAAACAAAATTTCATTCATATGAATGACATGCATTGCATTGTTGCAACACTTAGATGAGCATCAAAAAGTTGGCACTTGACTGAGACCATCTTCAAACCAGGCTTACCTGAGTTTTTTCATGTTTTTTAAAACTGTGTCTTTTCAAAATCAATTTTTAAAAAACTGTGCCAAATTCCATTATATTGCAAACAAAGCTCCTCCTAGAACATCACACAGCATCAGAATTTTTGATTGTCAGAAGGGTTTAGATTGTTCGTCGTTTCTAAAAGATTGAACACTCCAAGGACAGGCTGAACACCCCAAGAACACCCTAAAAACAAACTATTAAGCGGCTGAACACTCTTGAAAACATATCAAAGTCGGCATATCATTCAAAAAATTAATTAGCTCAATCAATCAAAATCAATTTTGGGGATGGGAAAGGGCCTGATAAGTCTAATGTTGTTGGTGTTGTTACAACCAACTTATGTTTTGCGCACCAGAACTGTGAATGGGGGTACATGCAGAGCAAATTCAAGTTTGACTCCCTTTGAGCATTCAAGCAATTTCCCATTGTTTTGAAAATCTTTCACATCCAGTGACAATGAATGTTGTTTAGACTTGTTTAAACAGGAATATTTCATTAGTAAAAATATGACATGTCACTTGACTACCTGTTAATTGATGAGACATTTATTCCTCACAATTTAACGTTCTGCGTGAGTGATCAAACGCTTATGCGTGGTTTGGTTTATGGGAGTACTGACGCAATCGCGAGTGATCACTCGCATCAAACGAAAAGGCCTGTTAATGGCTTGTTCTTAGGGTGTTCTTTGGGTGTTCAGCCTGTTCTTGGAGTGTTCAGTCTTTAAGAAACAATGTTAGATCGTTACCAACAGAGAGGCTGGGGAGAAGGAATTTGGATCTAATTTTTTGTGAAGAGTCTGGATAAAACTTCCCCCTATTAATGCCAGAAAGTAACCCATTTTGCTCCTAAATTTTGTATGAGAGCTTCCTTTGTTCTTTCAAACCACTATACACTGAGTATGGGTTACATATTAAAACATTTTGGTAAATACTACAAACAACAAATAAATACAAAACATTTATCATGCTAATGCTTTCAAGCGTACGGACTGAAATCATGGTATATAAGTCCTTACCAGCTGTTTTTTACTTAAATGAAGAGAAAAATACCACGCATTGAAAAAGGTATTCATTTCATGCATCACAGACCCAGAGGTGCAACTTTCTCTTTTGAATATGGCCCCTGAAAACAAGACATAAAATACTTAAATGTAAAATTTTGATCCCAACTTCAAGCAGTTGGAGATTATGTGCCTGGACATGGGGATGGTTAATTTGTGTTAATTTCAAGACAACTGTTCTTATTAACAAAAACACCAATTATTTCTGTACACACAATCAGTTTATTAGCTGCATTTCTCGAAGTGATTTGAAAAATTGAATGCATTAGGTAAATGTTTGTTCAATTTTAAAGCACCCATAACAAAGTTATATTTTGAATTTCATTTTAGGCCTAAATGAGATAATATATTATCAATGTCTTAAAACCTTCCAAGGCACCATTAATTAATGTCCACATGAAATTTGTAAAAATAGAAGTTACATACCATGCGTTGGATCTTGATCAACCGATTGCGCCTCCATATCATAAACACAGCAACCAAGCCAAGGGTGGCCAAAGAGATAACTGATGCACCAAGAAGGAATCCCTCATGCATAGAATGCTCTTCAAAAAGAAGGTAACATCAACATGATTTAATATGACAGGTACAACAATCTATTTTTCTTCCTACATATCTTGTAGAAACATGAAAGTTGACTCCACTTTTTTAACCAAAGATAGCTTTCTTTAACAACTTTTTTTAGTATGTAATAACTTGGTATACTCAGTAGTATAGTGAGGGGGAGGCAAGGGGGTGGTGGACCCCCCAATGGCAACAAATATTTTTGAAAAAGGATGTTTTCTGGCATTCAAAGGGTGTGGACTCCCAATTTCCCCTTGCTTAACTCACCTTCCCCCGATCTTAAATCCCTGGCTACGCTACTGGATACATTTTGTAAGTTACTAATTTGAAACATATTTTTAAACTTTTTCCCACCTTGAAGGCTAGCATTATGACATGTTTTTCAAGAAGACAATTCAAATTTCTGGAGATTCCAGGTCAAATATTGTCCACTTCTTTAAAATAAGCAAGTATTAAAACATTCATACTGCTTAAATATATCTTGATACCCTAACCTAAAAGAAAATTTTAAAACTTCCTCATTCAAAATTTGGCACCTCATAAAAAGCAATATAGAGGATCCTTTGCTGTAAGCATCTAAATTTTGATTTGTATCAATTGTCACAAGGGTTGTATCTCATCAAAGAGACTGAGACTTACTTTGGAAAATTATGTTGGCCAAAATTATGTGTTGCCATAGTAATACCCTCATAAATGAATATATTAGACTCCTTAATAAAAGGTAGGTAGCCTGTTGCCGTGTCACTAGGTCACATTCTCTCTTAAAGTATACAGTGGCTTAATGCCTATAATGTTATAGATTGTCATCTTTGCTGTTTTTTTTGCCACAAGTCTAATTGACTTCTTTGTGCACTGTCCATTTCACATTTATGAGGGTTCTAAACTTTATCAATGCTCAATTCTGCTCAATGCTCAAATATCAAGCCCTTGGGGCACAAATATGCCATATCTCCCTCAAAGATAATGAATTATAATCATGTTAAGTCCTTCTGCATATTCAATCTAACAGGTTCCATTATGCATACGCATCTTCATATCCATTTGGTATCCAAAAAACTAAAGAAAAAAGAAGACAAAAGACAAGACAATTGGATTGGAAGGAGTCTGAAATCCAAGAAAATTCAGTGCTCACTTGCATAGCATTCACCATCATGCACTTTGTACAGATCATTCCTTATACCACCAACACAGGAATCTGCATCCATCAAGCATTCACTGCTGTAAGTCCTGCCATTGCTGCCACAAACTGGCTCATAAATTGCTGCACACATTGGTACAGCGCATGGCATTGACTCAACTTTATGGCACACATATGAACCATTGGGGAAGCTTGTGCATATGCTATTAGTGCAAGGGGCATGGTAGCACGGATCATCATTTCTCTTTTTGGCAAGCATCTTGTGATGCCTGGGGTGGTCCTTCTTCTGTTTTCTTGGGTAATCAACTACAAAATGAGAGAAAGGGAACTATAAGCACTATAATCAATTCACTTCTCATGTTAGGAAATGCTAATATGTAATACTGCTAAGGACAATGATTAGGAGCCAAGAGGAAGGGGGGCTTGCAGTTACATATTGCTTTGTGCCTTTCCTTATATATTTTGCTACACCATTAGATCAAAAGAGATTCAAAAAGCTTGCAAAAAACTTGCCATGCCAAATGCTACCATGGAGATGTTTGGGCTCTTTGGCCTGAGTGACAGCTAAGCAAACAGTTATCAAACTAGGACTCTGAAATTCACAAAAATCCTTCCTTTGCAGCCAGCTGTGAGGCATGTTCAAGTTTCATATTTATTTTAGAGCCCTTTATTTGAAATAACTTGGGGACTCAAAGAAGAAGCGAAATTATCAGCATTGCATGCTGTGTAAATAATGTGAGGCTATAAAAGAGATGAATCACCATCAGCAGGAGATTAAAAACATTAACTCTTTGTAAACAAGACGCTCTTTATAGAAAACCTTGACTTGCCAGTAACATGTTGCTGGAATTTTAGCAGCCTTTAAATGATTTAAAGTGGATTATTTTAAATCTAGAATTTTGATGATGCCTTGGACTGATTTTGAAATAGTTATTGTAAACTTTTAATTGATTTTATTTTCCAACTTACATTTTCAACTCTCTATTTTTGTAAAGCAGGAAAATGGGAACCATTCAGTTTAGCAGTTATTATTTATGCACCAACTTATCCTAGATAATGGTTGCCAAATGAAAGTCCCCATTGTCATCACGATAATTTGCATTGACAGCAAAGTTACGAAATGAAGAATGTATTCTTGATCTGTTTTTCATTACATGTCTATTATTTGAAAATAAATACCTCAATTTCCCTAACATCAATGATAAATGTTTCCAATCAAAGTTTAATTTTATTCTTAAAAGCAAAAAGAACCTTTACTGAATTAACACTGGTGATAAAAAGAAGGGGAAGTCATCAAGAAAAACAAGACTGCTTTTAGTATTGATTAAAATGAAAGAAAATCACAAAAGGCAGCTAAATTTCCAGCATTATTAACTGACTGTCATTGGGACTTCCTTGGATTAAAGTTCACCTCCTGCAAATGGAGATTCAGTATAAATGAAGGAGAAAATACTTCCCATGTGATTTAAGGTCCAGATAACCATGAATACCTATATCAGCAATAACTATAGATATCTAGAAGACTCATTATCAGCCAGTCAATGCAAGTTTTTCTTCATCTTTTTAACATAAGATGACAAAACATTATGACTCATGGACAAAATTTAAAAGCAGCAATACAAAGGATAACTTGCATCTGACATCAACTCTTTTATTATATTTTGATTAAATTATATCATTTGTCATATTTTTTACAAAAATAACTTGATGTCAGTAGTAACATTAAATTCCAATTTCTTACCTGAAATTTTCATTATTCCAAAAAAACAATAACTCGAGATCATAAGTTTTGATTGCATGGTCAAATAAGAAGAAAAAAGCTTCTTATGAATCTTAGCATACTTCTCTCATAGTATTCCATCTCAATGTTGTTTTCGTATGTATTTTTCTTTCCATTGACAGTGAAATCATAACTTGTTGTAGTCAAATAGTCCCTGTTATGGATCCAATCATGGCCACCAGCAGCACACCATCCCATATTCAACGTGGCTGACAATGTGTATTCGGCTCTGTTTGGTTTCTTGAATGAAATATTGTACATCACATTCCCGTCGTGAATTTTCAAGTCATTTCCCTTCAAAACTTTGCTTGTAATGTCAATTGATGGAGCATCAGCAATCATGGAGTCCTGAACTTTCAAGGTAAGGCATGATCCTGTTGGGATACTTTCAAGTGTCTTTCCAATAAAGCTGATCTTGCCATACACTATTGCTTGCTCCACATCTGAATTCGCAAAGAGATGTAGATAATAAATAAAACAATACTTTGATAATCTTTCACTGTTATATACACTTTTGTTATAAGAACCATTTACCAGCAAGCACAGAAACAATAAATGGTTGCATAAACAATGTATATATTGTGCTTACCACCAACTACTTAGATAATTGTGCAGGGGCTCAAAGTTCTTATTGTTTGATGGTCTGAGGGTCTGGTGGTCTTTCAAAACTGACTTTTCTACTTTTATATTCTATCAGTTGTTTCTAAGACCACTTGGGGGATTCCAATAAAATGGTAGCCTCCCAGTGGGAGAACAGCAGCTCTATCTGTGGACTCCCATATATGACCTGTTGTGGTCTCCTGAAAGGGAGAACTGCCGACATTGGTGGACAATTGCAGTAAAAACTAGTTGTCCTGGCTGTTACCTTGTGTAGGGATAGGTGGTCACCCACAGATTCGACATGTTGTTCTGAGTGTGCAGGAGACCAATTTGTTCACCTCTGAACCACTAACAATTTTGCACAAAAGTTTTAGTAGCATTTGTTGATTTGCTGATAAAATCTGCTCTGTTTGAGTTAGCATGAGAAAAACATTTTAAAACATATGTTCTTTTTCTATGTATTTTTCATTTGAGGATGGACATGTTCTCATGATGTTCCTACTTTGTTCTGATTAAGTGGGTTTTTTTTAAATGAGTTTAGATATATATATAATAAATAAATAATAATAAATAATATATAATAAATCAGACTTAAATAGAAAATAATAATCAGGAAAACAATAAAAAATTCAAAAAGCTAATATTCATGCTTTTGCAAAGTTTTAAATAATTATCAAGCAATTGGATATCAATCATTTGTTGACAGATGCTTATTAGACAGAGGAATAATTGGTTAACAAGAGCCGATATTTGTTAGTTTAACAGTGTAACTAATTCTAGAAAATAAAATCCATGGGGGAGAATTTAATCCAGCAAAATAATACTCTGGGCTTCTTTGGATTACATTGTTGTTCTATTTCCAATCAAAATACTTGCAATAGAGAAGTAATAATAATTAGCACTTCTCCAAATCACATTTACGATACCATGCCACATGAAAAAATAACTCTAAATAAGTAAATTAGTTCTTTTTATCTTTAGCGCAAATAGTAGATCGGCAATATTCGAAGATTTTTATGCGTAGCTTTCTAAATCATTTCTAAGGTTGACAATTCAAATGTCTAGTGTATGATCCCAGAACATTCAGAAAAATTCTGAATCGCAGATTTGACCCTGCTTCGGTACAAAAAAGCAAATCTCAAGTATACATAGCTTTTGGTTCCACAAAAAAATTTTATGAATTGATTACCTAATGCGGGGCTGGCTTATTTAATTAATATAGCAAGCTTTCGTGCTACGTTGCATTTGTTTTGCCTGCCACCCACTACAACTCAGGACGGTTAGGCGCATGGAGTGGTTGCGCCAAATTCTTCAAAATTTATACGCACGAAGAAATCTGAAAAAACTTCTGGACCTTATGAAAAATTAAAGGATTGTTTCCTACCTGTTGAGACGCAAACAGCAATGCTGCAAATCAGACAAATCCATGAGAGTTTTTTATCCATTCTTCCCTTGATAGAACGGCTTTCTGACTGGCCAACGTTTACAGTTGTGCGCAAGGCCTAGCAACCAGCTGCAGAACTACAATTAGGTATTGACTTAAACAAGATTAATAAAACTCCTTTAAATATCTTGTGAAAAAACAGAAAATACGGCTTCTTTAACCTGAACGCGTTATTTCTTTCCAGCTAGATTTGCTTTGACTGTTTTAAATCACATTTCGCATAAGTCTGAATTGAGAACTTTCGTACATTTCCCATAATGCACAACGGCATTAATTGCCTGTAAACAAAGCAGACCTGTAAACAGTGGGGTTGAAATGGTTGAAATTTATATGTAAATGGCTATTCCCCTAAGCAACAGCTTCTTCTGTCGTGAAGATCTATCACAACAATCAAATTCATATGTAGATTTTATTCAGTTGAGATTAACAGCAGGGCTACGTATCAGTTGGGATACGACATATTTTCAAGTCTTCACACTTTTTATGCTCTAATTCAATCAAATCTGTTTATCTAAATGTATGGCCTTAGGTAAAAACGAATGTTAATGAAAATCATTACTAGAGCATTTGAGGTTTCAAATAATTCATGAAACAATCAATATTTGATCGTCTTCTCTATGCAATGAAATGACCTAAATAAAGTTGTGTTTCTATCTGAGGCTTGAGAGGCCTGGGGTTAACTAGACCCAGGCTCTGTCAAGTATAAATTGGAAGACCAACAGGGCCTATTTCTCTGAGGCCTAAAGGTGAGTAGGGCACCGTGCACTGTAGCTCATTTGCAACCGCGATACTAAGCCTCGATTACTGTGTGAGCTTTTAGTTTTCACTCAAGTTTAAGTAATAAATTCGTTATATTTTTCAGGCTGATGATGAACATGCCAAAAGTCTGATGTGCTTTGGCACAGTTGAAGACAAAAAGCATGAGAAGTGAATACTCAATGTGTAAACCGTGGTCTTGTATTGTTTATTGTGTGATTTTATGTCGTCTTGTTATGTTTATTAAATTTTAATTGTTTCTTATCTCTCTCTACCCCTTCATATCTCTCTCTCTCACTCGATCTACCGAGCAATGATGATTTACACTTGATCGGATAAACTGTCCTATCAAGACGGTTAATGATCGCAGCTACACTTGATCTGAGCTCACTGGTCGCCCTCTCAAAAGAAAAGTGCCGAATTCTTAGTGAAAATGCATTCTTTTTGTTATATTTTCTAAAGGGGACAAAAATTATCCCACTCTTGAATTCAATTGTTGCTATCGAATTGATGGCACGAGGCATGCCAGCTAGATTCCCCTTTCCAAAAGTTTTTCTATTAGAATGAAAATAACAATAAATTTATTAGAATTGGCGCTACACAGCTATTTACAGTAAAACATACTTGAGCTAATCCAAGCCAACTGTTAAAACTCATTCGTCTAATAATTACATGTAAGATAAAATGCATAATATTTCCAGTAGGTTTGTATTCACTTCCATAAAGTTATCAGCAAACAATTGGATAATCATGTTTAAATCATTCCCCGCAATTACATTATTATCGCACGTATGTATCGTTATATCATCCGCGGAGAGCAGTCAGGGCCGGATTTACCCAAAGGCCAACCAGGCCATGACCTAGGGCCCGGCGGTTTTTAAGCCCCGCGCTAAACAAAGTAAATCTTTTGGTACAAAGCAAATTTTTTCATCCATGATCCATAATGACAGCATTGCTGGAATAGAACGTAGAAGCGGCACCGTTGGCACCGGTCTGTGGTGTGCACGGGATATGTATATTTGCGCAATAATTTCATTTTTTCAAACATTGTTCTTTCTACTATGGGCCATGTCATGACAAGCTGTGTTGCTTGTTTCTTTTAACGAAATAACCAGATTTTAGCAATAGAGTTGTAAAATATTGACATCATAACTTAAAGATTTATTTCTGAATCTTCAATTTTTAACACGTACGTTAAGAATACGAAGCAGAAAGAATACGTTGAAATGTCTGTAAATGCGGAAAAGCAGTTATATCTGTTGCATATTTCATATGATTCGACCATTCGAAGTTTGCTAATGCATTGCTGTTTATTTCCCTTGGTTCAAAGTTTCAAAGCTGAGGCAGGCTCCTTATGACTATGTTTGACATAGAAAAGCAACTAAACACCGGTCTTATGTAGCTTCTTTAAAAAAGGCACCCAACATTGCCAAAAACAATAACTTTGCCCCACCAACCGTAAGAACGAACTACAAAAAAAATTTATTGTCTGTAAAGCGTAAAGATTTAGAACAACATACTTTGCAAATTAAAGATTTAATTGCTAAAAAATCCTAATAAAAACCCTCTTTCTTGTCTACTGAGACCTTACTATACAATAAAAAGAAACAATATTTTGTCGTCTTAATCTTTTATTCTTTTTGCTTAATCTTTCTTTTCGTTGTATCTTTTTTCATATTTAATTTTTGTTTTCTTGCAGTTCATTAATTCTAATAATCAAATGCTAATAAACTTCAATAAAAAACTTGGATTGTAAACTGAAACGGAAAACTCATGGCCCCAACACCTAATAACTACCTAGTGTCTTGTACTACAGTGTCCAGTGGCAATTCTCACAATTGTGTGACAGAGGGGGGCAGGGGGGCTACAGCCCCCGTAGGAGCTGCTTAGCCCAACCGTCGGAAGATATACAAAGAAAATTTATAATTTACTAACTGAGCAAGATTTTTCTACCGTTAGTAAAATTTTTACAAAAGAAAAGAAGTAACTGATTACAGAAATCCCATTGAGTGTAAATGTACTACCAGGTAACTCTCAAGTAATTTACGCACCATATCGGGTACCCTGGGTACCAGACTCAAGTGAGTATCGGGAAACTCAACCCTCTTATTCGGCATACCAAATGAATTATTATATAGGTAAAATTCTTAAAGACAACTGGAACATAATTTTACCAGATAAAGAACTTAAACAAGAATGGAAATAGCCCCTATACTAGCATCAAAGAGACAAAAACATTGGAGATCTAATTACGCAAACTTGATGACACATGGGTAACACCCCCCACCCCCCCCAAAAATTCTAAATCCGTTCTTTACTCGGCAGTTTTGGCATTTTTGGCGCTTGCTCTGCAAACTTGGTGGTGACATTAATTAAAAAATCAATGATATTCAATGGTATATTTAACTGTTTTCATTTTCATTACTCTTAACTCCACTCCTCGGAATGTTCTCTTCACTCCTCGGCACGTTAATATTTTAACTGATAAATGGCAAACTGTAACCAGTGAGAAACAAACTAAACATTAAAATGTTTCAATCGATTAAAACCGTCTAATAGCGTTCTGCCTGTGGGTATTTTATTCTAAGAATAAGGTTGTTTTGTAAAGGTAGAACAAATTGATCCAATGAATGCATTTTCCAACGGACTGGAATCATCAAAATTTTAAAAATTTACCCGCCTTTTGCGGCAACTATGGTGCCGCCTCAGGCAATATCTTTCGTGTACTATTGCGACACGATGATTAATCTGCAAGCTAACAAAGACTTAACCTACCTAAGTAAACATGTCTCTTTGTTACACAGAAAAGTTTAGAACGTTAAGAATATAGAAAAATCACGGAAAACGATCTACAATAAGCTTTCTTAATATATGTAATATGTCTTTTAGGGACATTTTATCACAAAAGCTATTCCCCCACAAAAAATATTATTCCAGCTCTAAGTAGCTGCCCTTTGTTGTTTGTTAAATTCGTGTCATGTCATAATCTTAATGTTTGCGCGTCTTTTTTGCAACTGGGATTCCATGTTTTGTCTCCGATTGCCTAGCCCCCTGTCGGAAGGTCAATCCCCTCCATCGGAGAATTTCTCGTAAGCATCTGATTTTTATTATAAGAAGGTCGTGTTTAGTACAATCGAGCACTTTGGATATAACCATTAGGATTGCACCAACATTCTCTCCCTCATCTAAGCTTTTCTTCATTTTTCAAACATTCGAACCAGTGCGTGCTGCGCATTGTACCCCTTACGAAAACTACTAAAAGTGATGATAAACGTGGTTGCATGTTATTATGTATATTTTTTATTCATCTCTCTCAAAAACCTTAGAAACAGTTGGCAATACGCTCTCGGGTCCGTAATTTTTCTGACTGTTTTCCTCCTCCGATTTATGAAGAGAAGTGACATCTGCAAGTTTTAATAAGTCCGGAAAAAACACCATTCATTCTGAAAGCAGTTATTGAAATAAGCTGCATCGATTTGGTGCAAGCTGCTTTTAAGCGCTTCTGCGGGTATATTTCTAAAAATTGTTGTCTTTTTAGAATAAGGTCTCTCAACTTAAATCTCTCAACTTCAGAATGCATCGGTTCCAAATTACCTTTTGGAATTAAATAAATCATTGTTTCAAACAAAACAACGAATTTTCTTTGTGCTTTGGTGTTTTAAATATTTTGTTATAGCCCTTTTTACCTTTCTATAGGATCTAATACACCTTCTGTGCGTATGGTACTCTCCTTGTTCTCCGTAAAGACCCAATAAGTCAGTCAGTGATAAATATAAAATAATCATTCATGGTTCTGGAACTTCCTTATCTTTGGAGTATATCGTATGATTATTATCGGTAAGGGTAATTTCTGCAACTTCCTTATCTTTGGGAGTTATCGTATGATTATCGATAAGGATAATTTTTTAATTAGATCGACCTTTATCGGAAAGGACAGGTTTGACAGTTTTCAAAAATTTTAATTGTAAGTATTGAACATCCTGATTATCCAAAAAGTTAAGCTTGTTTGCCCTTTCTCTTTTTAGACATCCTGATTATCCAAAAAGTTAAGCTTGTTTGCCCTTTCTCTTTTTAGACGTTGGGTAATGACGGTAAACAGGGCCACTGAGTCTGGGATATTCAAGCGGGGGGACGATTATTCGGTACTCAAGCGAACACTGAAACCAATGTTGACATGTATGGGTTTGTTTCTCAGAACGAGGCAAAACGTATATGGCTGCAGACCTGCATAAAAGCAGCCAGATGTTTTCCGATCTTCTGATTTTGGTAGAGATCGGAAAATTAATGTTTAACATGTTGATGTTTGCATAGTTATTTTCTTGAGAACGGGTTTTAACAGGCTGAAGGTGTCAAGAAAATTGTTCATTGTTGAATCGTTGCTGTTTTGTGCCTTGATTTACAATGGGGATGGCCAGCGTCGCATATCGAAAATTTAACTAAGCAACTTCTGCCTACCTGAACTCTGACAGCAAATTGAAATTGCTTTTCAAACAAGGAAATATGAATCTCACTGCTTTTCTGTGGCGAATTGCATTCATTCTTTATTTCTGTCAGCATAGATGCTTCAGTATTATAGAGGATGTTTTGCTGCCCTACCAGAAGTCACATGATGATACGAAGAGAAACCACAGATACGTAAGGGAATGCCAACATATAATTCACGGTAACAAGACTTTTGAGACTTACAGAAGTTATAATACAAGTAAGGAAAACTCTGTTGAATATTTAAAGTATTTGACTCATAAAATCGAATCAAGGCAGGACACATTTGGTATCAAGAAGAAATACGTACACGGACATATAGCACTGATAAACAATCCCGCAAAAACTTTTTCAGTATTGTATCCAGGATCTAAAGCAACTTGCAGCCAATGGTCTGGTATCAGAGAAACAGTTTCAAATACAGCAAAGCATGCTAAATGCACAATTGCAATAAATGCTGGATTTTTTAATACACACACTGCAGGGTGTTTAGGAAATATTGTGTCCAATGGTCACATGATACATGATTCAAATGGTGTCCAGAATGCTAACTTTGGAATTCGAAAAAATGGGGAACTAGTTGTGGGTTATTTGTCAGATGATGATGTTACTGAAAAAAATAACCCTTTTGTGCAACTCATTTCTGGTGTTGGTTGGCTTATTAGAAATGGTATATATATTAATGATAGCAAAAAGGCAGAATGTGCAGATACAGAAGAAACTGGTACAATAGAAAGGTTTTTCAATGTTATCTCTGCAAGGTCAGCAATAGGCCATGATAAAGATGGAAGAATCATTCTTATTACTATTGATGGGAAAACTGATAAACAAGGGTGAGTTTTTACAATAGAAAGGTTTTTCAATGTTGTCTCGGCAAGGTCAGCAATAGGCCATGACAAAGATGGAAGAATCATTCTTATTACTGTTGATGGGAAAACTGATAAACAAGGGTGAGTTTTTGCATTTCAAAGATAGAACCAGTGTTTCTGTCCAGAAAAGGATTAATTGTTTATTATTCTATGATCAAACAGAAAACTGTTTGAATTTCTATTAGGCATATTTCGATTGCTGATGGTATACAATATGAATGCTATTTTAAACTCAGTCGAAAATCCCTGAAACCATTTTATGCTTGGTGGATGAAGATTCCAATTTAGCTTCCCTATCTGATTAAGTAAACAGCATAGTCATGATAAGGATTGCTACTCTTCTAGAGTCAACCTGTTGGAGCTTGCACGGATTCTAAAAGAGCATGGAGCAGTTAATGCTATAAACTTGGATGGAGGAGGATCAGCCACATTTGTTGTTAATGGAACAGTTATAAACTACCCTTCAGATATGTGGTAAGCATAAGAAAGTTTAAATTGAATAGCTTTATGTGGGTATTCCAAGTTCTACTGACAGAAGCCCCAGCCTCCCACAGTTCTGTGACCATTTCATGACAAGATTATATAATTTAACAGTTGGGTTCAACTTTCTTTGTAAAGAAAACAAATAGGATTTCCAATGTGAATTTCTTGTAAAAGCTCAAAAATCTTTGTGTTGAAATCAATTATATGTTTGTTTGCAAGCTTTTTGAAGAGAGGAATAGTGCAAACAGTAGATTTGCAAATGGAATAGAAACTAGAGTTCTGTTTATTTTGTAAAAGATCTAGGTATTAAAATATGGACTTCTTATCCGAGAAATTAAATTCACAGAAAAAATCCTTTGAATATTTATGTTGGAAATTGACCGACTGTATAAATTTAAAGCATATTCCTTAAGAAGAAACATTTTATTTTTGACGTTGACAAATTCTCTAATCTCTTTTTAGCGGGAAAGATTATTCATGTGAAAGGAAGGTCTCAACTATCATTTGTATACATAATTCTGTATGTGGGAACTGTGTTTGCTCTGGGACAAGAGGCCAATGCATCAATGGAGTGTGTCATTGTAACCATTCGAGGCCTTCCAATGTAAGTGTGGAAAATTTGCACCAGCAAAATGGTAAGTTTTGTATTAATCACATTAAGTCTCCTTACATTGTGAATAGTATTGTATCAAATGATGTTCTAAAAGATCTTTGCATTATTTATTGTAACTCAGATGTTGCAAAATGCTTGATTTTGAAAGCCAAAACACAGCCATTGGGCTATGATATAAGGAGGTTCCTGTAAACAGAACTTTTCACAACACTGAGAGTTTCTAACAGCTTAAAATACAGGTCTATATAATTAAAAGATATAATCTATATAATCAATGTTTTTTCTGGAATAAATCTTGAAAACTAATGACAGAATGTATGGCTAATATAGCAGAAAGACTAAGAGCATTGTGTAAGGTAGTGTCTGCAATGCAGTTCTTCAGGCTTTTAGTTTTAATTCTAAGCAACGCCTTGTATCTCCCCCTTTTTTAAGGATAGTTGTTTTGTCTTATAGTTTTAAGACTCAGATAGACTTGCCAAGTTACCTCTTAGTAATTCCTTGGCATCAAAGTTTGAATTACTCTTTGAGAGTATAGAATAATGGCAGACATCTCTGGCAATGGCATTGCTTACTAGAGGGTTTTGGTATCATAACTTGTTGTGCTAAGAACAATTTCAAATGTTTTGTATAACATATGATGTAGACAGGGACTACTTTTATGTTCATTTTGCTAATTGAAGACGTTCTGTTGTGATATTTATGTGATTCATCTATAATGGGATCTTTGATAACCTCTTTTGTCAAGGAAAACGTATCATCAGTAATGTTGATGGCTCAAAGAAAGACGAAACCAGTAAAAATGTTATATTCAAGGAAAGGTATGAATTACGCTCACCAATTTCAATTCATTCTAGTTTTTTGGTAACTTGTCAGCCAACTAGTGATGATGGGAACCTTAGAGTGCTAGTGGACAGAAATTAGTTTTAAAGATATTTGATAGAGAATGAATTATTACTTTGATGACCCAGCTATGATCAAACCCTTAGGGAACCATTTTAAATAGGCAAAACAATTGAACACCTTGTTCTCATTGCCATGGTAACTAGCTAAATTCCTGAACAGTTCTGTTGGAATGAAATTCATATCGGGGGGGGGGGCTGCCCATTGTATTCCTTGTCATCCAGTACACTGTTAAAAAGGAAGCATGCTACAGTTTGACAGCTATTGTGGGGGCTCCAGCCCCCCTACCCCAGCCCCCCGGTTTCAACAGGCCTGCGGGATAACATGAATAGTATGTTAGATATATTTTTACTTTGCTCATCTTTAATAGAATCATCTTGTAAGAAGCTCAAGTATTGCCCTCTGTTGATTTTATGGAATATTACTTGGAGCGATTTTGGGTCAATTCAAACGTTTTTTTCTTGATGTGCTTTTCAATATCAATATATCAAAAAAATGTTAACGTTTCTCTGTGAGTCGTTGAATACTTATCACGCTTGTAATTCCATGTAACATGGTACATACATTTGGTTTTTTTTAATTATCCTGGTAATTTAATTAACTACAGCAATTATGCCAAATTGTATAAGAGCAATAATTGTAAACAATCAGTTCTTTTTTAACAATCTTCTAAAGAATCTATTTCAGTCCCTTCCCATTTGTCTCCTTTTGAAACTTTTGGCAAATATGCTTGTTATCTGAAAAAAGTTTATATAAATGAAAAGTATTTTGATTTTTTTCACCATTTTTTATTCTTTTATCTTCTATCAGCCCAATAAAACCTGAGTGCTAATGCTATAGGAATATTGGAATCAAAATAATTTGAATTTAAGTGAGTCTCTGGACACAAGAAAATTTAACAATTTTTACCTATGAAGATTAAACTCTTGGAAAGACGACAAAAGATGCAATCGTTCCCTTGCAAAGTGATTTTTGGATAATTTTCACTTCTTTATAAGCAGCTACACTAGACAGTTAGCCTCGCCCCACCATTTTCTGTTTAATGAAGGTGCTAGTTGTATTCTGAATTGCAAATTTCTGCTAACCAGTTGAATCAACGCAAAGCTTACTCCCCCTAATTTGCAGATCTTTATTCACTTGCAGCCTTGGAGGTATTTGGTTCATATCACTGACAGCTGTTCTAGGATGCAGTCTGTTAATGAATATATTCCTTGTTGTCATGCTACGCGTGTCAAAAAAGAAACAAGAAAAGCCATGGCGGCAGGGAGATCTGAGAGGCCTGCTGGATGAAGATAGCGACGGTGTCTAAAATTGATATCAATCAAAATCTGATAAGTAGTAAACAGTATAATAAGCGTAGAGAAATAATCATTCGAAAATATTTATTTAATTATTGATGTGGTTAAGTATCGGCTGGTCCAAACACGCTCAGTTTTGCCAGTCTCGTAGCTTCCTTCTTTGATTGTGAAGTATGGAGTGCGTTAACTGGTCTTCTTGCGAACTGTACATTAGCCAATCCGATCGTTCTATTCTATCAACATGACCTTTATTACTTGCTGCAGGTGCTTCTTAACTTCTCTGTTTGCACCAAGGACCAGTGCTGGTATGCTGATAACGAGACGTTGCCCCTCATAAGACCATCTTCTAGACTTCATCTTTAGTGATCATCTTTTTACTGTTCATGGGTCCATTGCTAGGATTCTTTTAGAAAAATGTCCAGGAATGTTTTAAAAACATTCTAAAGTAGAACAACGTGTAGATAACGTGATTGGATGAACGCTACAAAAACGAATTCAGGTCATGGAAAAAGAGACAGACTTCCACTTCATTTAACGTCTGCAGTCACTGCCTCGGTATTGGCTCCGCAAGACATCTGTATGCTAGCATTAAACTGGTTTGATAGTTAATTGTCAACTTTGGGTCACACCAGACGCAAAAATCTCTTTTTGCTTAACTCTGAAGAAATCCTGTTTGCTTCTGCAGAAAATCTTTTGCTTTTTCTTCCGCAAATCCTCCATTCTTATATCTCTGACACCCTAATTCACTTGACGAAGTTAATCAGCTATTTGCTGGAGCGATCTTGTAATTCATTTTTAAATTAAATCAATGGAAATTAACGGTGTTGGGTATGCTACAAGCTCAAATAAAATATTATTCATAGTAAAATTTGGTAATTTGGTTTATAGCCCAAATTTATTATTTGGTAATCGTGCGTAGATATTAAGTGTGTAAATCCATTTTCTTTTTCTGAATTTTATTCAATTTAAATTTATTCATTTTCCGTGAAGCTCAGCGTTTTATCTTCGAACGATCAGCCTCTAATGGTCTCTAATTTAATATTGTTTGGTTGCGAAACCCAATGTTTCAGTTTTTCATTTTTAAGATTAATACGTAATACTCTTTTAGTATTAATACAATCAAGATAAAATAAGAGAACAATTGTTTTATTCCTATTATTTTATCTTGATACAATCAAATATAGTACAATAGTTGTCAGTTGAAATGTAAACTAACTAATCTATTAGCGAAAGTGCTGCTATACCAAGAGGTCGTGTTTACGTGTATGCAGTTCTGAAGATGATCTTTAAAAGCTCTTTTAAAATAAAAACAGATTCAGTGTTTCATACGCTATTTAGTATTCCCTTCCTTGGAATATCGGCTTTTTACCCGATTGCATTATTACTGAAAATTGTGCGTACCTATCTCTATTTTTCCCCTCTCCCAAGCCAGTGATTCAATGCGGGATATAATATCCCTTGGATTTAAAAACTAGTAAACTTCTGGATAGAAATTAGGGAAATACGGTAGGAAAATGAGCAATTTATTTAGATAGAGACAGTTCAGTTGTGTTTGTCCATATTTTAGAATACGAAATCTTATTACAGACCAACCAGTCATGTGGTTTCAGAACTAATTTGTGCATTCTAACAATATAGTTGTAGATTATGTCGAGTATCAAACAACTGCTATTTATTTCAATTGTAAGCTAGCCCTGTGTGAATTATGATCTTAGATTAGATAAAAACGCACTTGATTTTGGTTTCTTCATTCGTTCGTTAGCCTTCCTGTCTGCAAACTTTGCTTGGCTCTCAGGCAAAGTTTGACGTTGCGCATACATAGGTGCAGCATTACTATTGGTCCAGTAGTATCCATTTTTGTTTCTATTACCATTGAATGAAAGAAGTGAACTGCATATGATGCTGCTACATGTGGCAATTACAGACCTTGCTGGCTAATTATCAAGTAACTTCACTGCGTACACGTACATTGCGAGTCTGAAATGACCTCCTTACTACCAGTAGTAGACAGCTGTCTTTTGAGATCATAGTCTTCAGAAATTGCATACATGCATTGAGTGCATTGGTCAAGATCGAAGCCTGACTTATGTACCAGTCAATATTTTAATTCAATTCACAATGTAGCAATTTTTTGCTCATTTTGAAATTCTGCGCGGTAGCCCTTGTACTGTAAGCCAGAAATAGTGGAGGCATGCAGTTCCGACTTGAGTTCTTGTGGAACATCGAGTCAGATCTTCAAAGTATATGGTAGGCATTTTACAGTGTCCAGTGCGATTTAGTAAAAGCAAAGATGCCAACACATTTCATTCAAAAAACTCTGTCCCACAACTCATCCTTCCTCCTTAGTTCTTGTAAAGTTTGGAACGCTCTACCCTCTTCCTGCTTTTCGGAATCGCATAGCCGGTCTCGATTAAAAACTGTAGTCAAGTGTCTTGGCCTTACCTCCCTCTACTAATTCCCTCTTCTCTTGTTAAGACTTAGTCAACGTCTCATGTGCCTCTCCGTAACATAACCTCCTAGAAACCACATCCTTCCCAGGGCTCTTAAAAATTAGCCATGCCTTTCTTGGCTCTCAAATTAAGAAAATTAGAAGAGTTTGAAATTCAATTATTGCCAAACCGTTTTTGGTGAACTTTGGTGAATTTTGCGTTGATCAATCATCAGCTTTTTCTTACTTAGCTGTCCAATCCTAACATTTGTTTGAACAGAGCATTCAGTGACCTATATTTTCTTAAGATTTGTTTGTTAATTTAGCCAGCTCTCAAATTAAAATTTTAGCTCCTTCATGCACAGGTTATGTGCATTTAAGAATGAACAAATCAATGATAGCGAGTTGTTGGATTTCAGAATGGTCCAGATTAAAAGTTTTTTATGCCATGTTTTAGTTTATTAACATGATGAGAAGAAAAGGCTAAGAGCGATGCGTCATTCCTACACAGCTCCTAGTTCGGTGAGATAGCGGAAAGAATTTCCACTGCAGAAATTCATTTTCAGTGAAAATTCTGCTACCGAACATGGCGTATTTCTGTTTGCTGTCGAGTTTCATCTCATTCTCGTAGAACTAATAAAAAAATTTCTTTCTACCCAACACCCGAAAGTAGCTTTTAGGACACTGAAAATATTGGCTGATCGAGCAATGTCCTGGTCCTTTCTCCCGACGTGACCACACCTTTCCTACGCCTAGAACTGCAAAGATTGAAATTGTGCTTGGAATGCAAGACAAATGAAATTAGACAAATGCCTTCTGCGTCTTTTCAAGGCATAACTCGATTCAGGTTGAACATATAGTGTAATAGTTCCATGTTATTACTTTTTAGACTGGTGCTTAGCCTAGAACTATGATGATATTATTGTCACTCCTTCTCTTGTGAATAGACTATCACGGTCAAGACTTCAACAAGTCAATCTTATTACCCATTACGGTTCTTTGCTTGAGCAATTTGTTTTCTTTGCCAATATCAGAAAGTTTTTTTGGGTTTGGGTTGGGTTCAAATTTCGTTTCTTCAAACTGTCTTTCTAGAAACAGTTCAAACTATTCTGGACTTTAGAAACTTTGCTTTAGATAAAAATGGTTAACACTTGTTTTTGAGTAAGTCTAGAAAAGTCGATTGCTAGAACATGTACTACCTGGAGAGAAAACCGATCACGACTTTTATATATTCACATCTATATAGAAACTAAAATCTTTATTTCTTAGAAGTACTGAAGCCATCACAATCGTGTCTTAAGGTTTTTGCTGTTGAATGGATGACGATGTTACAGCCCTGTTTATTGAAGAAATTCTAACTGGGCATTCAGAAATGCTGATTGTTATACACAATTAATAGATTTACCTCTGCTACAAGGTGCCACCTGTGGTAGGTAGAGCATTCCCAGCATATCCATTGTCACCGTTTATCTTGCTGTAATAAAAAAGGACAGTAAACAATACAAAGGACAATGCATAAGAATAAATAGAATAATATTTTAAATAGACGCTATTGTTTGAGAATCGAAGGCAACTGGCAAGCTGCATTGGAGCGATATGAATGTTACGATCATTTCGCTGTTTTCTATGTTAAAAAACGACTCTCGTGTTTATTCAGGAAAATAATTGTTATAAGATAGGTCAAAAGATTAATTTCTTTGTCGTGTGCCACGTCCTCGATACATTATTCCATCCTTTCATAAAGGATTAACTTTGTGTTGATCAATCTGCATTATTTAAAACCCTTATGTCAGAGCTTCCCGACTCGTGGTGACGTTGCATCAATTCTTTAGGCCTAAAACCCAAAGAGTAGCGCCCATATGACTGTGCTAATTTCTGAAAAGTAGCATGCCGCATGTGTAATGGAGCACAGATCATGAACAAGTTTTTCGACAAATGGCTCGAAAATCTTAGCATTTGCCATAAATTTGCACAAAAAAAGACCAAAGTTGAGTAGCATTTAAAAATGTATTCGATCCTGAATCGAAAGATGAAGCATAAAACGGTTTACCAGCAGTTCGTATTTAATTCTTTAGCATTAGTCTGAAAACATTTAGAGAATTGCTCAAATTTCGTTGTCCTTTTGCCTTCACCTGAATTTTTGTATTTTACATAGCCTAATTCTCCCATCTAAAAATCGTAGCTTCTATATTGATGAGAATATGACTAGATGGCCATTATTACTCGAAATTCGAATAGGCAGCCGCGTGCCTCAAGCGTTGCAAGAGGCTCTAATTGGATTCTATTATGAACTGAAACGAGATTAATCACAAGGAATTGTACCTCGGATTACCATAACTGCGTGAGAACGTCAACTAGTGATTCTACTTTTTTGTACGAGACAAAGCTTTTAGGCAAGACAATGCAGTATTAATTTGCTGTTTAGCAAGCTTTATGTAGATTTCCACCCCTCAAGAGAAAGATGATACAATTGGAAGTTGCAGCCACCAGGGGTCAGTGCATTTGCGTGATACCCATTGCCTGGTTTGATGTTATCGTCAGCTTCATTCAATATCCCTCTCGTTTCACTACACAGGCCACTTGGCAATTCTGGTAGTCCAGGAGAATATATCGTTGCGTAGAACAAAAGAAATCCAAGTTTATTTAAAGAGAGGTGCTTGAATAGACCTATCTGAAGATATCAAATTTACGTACGTCTTTGGGGAAATTCTAGAATCATTTCTTTTACTCTAATTGGTTGCCATTCCACGGTAAGGTCCATTCAAGTAAAAAACCAAGGCGTTTGAGCCTTATCAAATAAATTTTCTAGCCCCATATTGTATTACTTCTTTCCCTTTCAGAAGATTGTGACAGACAGAAAAAACATAAAACCAAAATGCAACACCTGCGATAGCCTGAGATAAAATTGCTTATTCTTTAAACTCGATCAAATATTAGCACTAGATATATTTTTTGCTAAAAATTTGCTTCCAAAAAACTGTTCAATGCCTTGTTACCTTTCAAATGCAGCTATGAAGAAGAGCTTGTACTCAGCTAAAACTTCTGTTTAGTTGCATACTGATTTGAAGCATGACAAAGACCTACTCATCGAAACAGAATGCTTTATAAGTGGATGAGAATTTCCAAACTATAATGTTAAAATGATAAAACATTATGCAAAGGTTGTTTATGTTTTTATATATTAATGATGCAAACAAGAAATTTTATTACCTAAACTAATGATATAACGATCAATATCTGGAACGATATTTGCATTTGAAGGATTGGCGCTTGACACCAGCTGTGCAAATCTCGGGGTGTTTTCTCGTAACACCTTAATACTTATTGTAATTTTTTCTCATTTGCACGTAACGTGCTAATATCTATTACCAAATCTTTCTATCGGCTATCAATGGCGAATTCTATTGTGTTCCATTGTCGTACTTCTGCTGATGTCTTAAGAATTATATGTCTAGTGTTAAGACTGATGTTTTTTACCCTATGTGGCACTGGAAAGGTGGGAATCATCAACAAAGAGACGGCAAATTCCCTAAATACCAATATCACTGCACTTTTTACATTTTGTACGTAGCAGCTTGTCAAAGTTCTACAAAATCATCATTCTATTCCAGTATTTAGTCTTTTCTGACAGACTATAAGGAAGGATACTAAGATAGTAAACATGTTAGAAAAATGTCAATTTTGCTACTTAATTTCTTGCACAACTATGTAAAAATGAAAAATCAAAAACATAAATCTTCAAATAATATGATTAATTGTTTTCCCAACTTATCCAAAGCTGTATTCTTATTTCGTAAGAAATATTGCAAAGCAGAAATGTAACAAGAGCATCTTTGTCCCATTGGGAAATGTTTTGAAGAGGGCATTCTGCACCAGTAGCCGGTAAAATCTCACAGTGCTAATAACCTACAAAGAGAACTTGCTTAAGGTAGCAGAGAGACTTCAAAAGTTTGTTGACGAACACCAGGCATGCATTCATTTACATAAGAAACTTTTGCTTTGAAACTAAAAATATTGTAAGCATGCTTGATAGGATATATAGCATTTTCTCGATTTGTTCTCCTCTTTTCATATTGTGCTTTTGCTCGGTTCCTAAACGCTTTATGCTTAATGATAATAACTATTCTTAATGGCATTCGATGTTTTCAGATGAGTGTGTAAAATTCAAGTGTAGGTACCCGTATTGAATATTTGCACTGAGCTGTCCTTGCATTGTCTTTCCTTATAAACCTAGTTTTTAAAATAATTGATAACATAGCATTCTTGCTTTGCAAAATTTTTCATAGAATGTTGTTATGAAAAAATGAC